AGACATGCTCCACGGATCAAAGACCTCGGCACCCGCGCTGTCGCTGTTTGGTTCAAACTGCACTGCGGTGGTGTCCACATGGGCACCCGGCTCACATTCCAGCGGTCGGCCGCCCCAAGCAAGCAGGCAAGCTGTCTCTGAGACTCTGAGTTTCTGACCGTTCGTTGACCCTGTCTCTTGAAGAGTTTCTGATTGGTTATCACAACCCCTGTCAAGTCGATAGAGTTGCCAAGCTCTCTCGGCTTCACCGATGCGCGATGCGAATGAACCGCCCAATCTGACTCTCCCGCCGCCGCCATTTCCGTGCGCCGCCTACTGTATGTATGTATGTACGCTCCGCTGTGTCCTCTTTTGGGGACTGGGTTCGTCACGGTGTCCTCCATTCGGAATTGAGGGCCAAGTCTCTGCACCTGATTGCTTGCATCATGACCAAACATGACCCTGGCCTGGCCTGGCTCAGTCAGAGAACGGCCCCCTGGACAAGCAAGACAGACACCACCAAGACTCTCAAGTTCACCATCCTTCGGAACATTGATCTTTGGCTATTACTTCCTTTGGTAACTCGGAGTTTTTACCTGGAAGCCCACCTATCCCGCTACAGATTGTGTGATTGATCTTTGGGTGAATCAACATGTGCTTACACGAGTGACCCAGTTCGAATTCAGATCACCATTCTCCCGCGCAGCACCCTCCCCTCGCCAATTCTAGCAATTTTATAGCATCATCGATATGTCGTATTGCTCGCGTTCTTGAACCGAGTCTTGGCGTCGCTTCAATCCCGGCTCCTGTCTTCTAATTCATACCTCTAAGTAGCCTTGCTCAGCTACCTTGTCCCTCAGTATGCCCATGTTTACGAAGTACTGTATTAGGACTCGCACCAACCATCCGCAAGGAACAGCAATGTTGTACAAAGAAATGTCTGAGCAATTGGGTCCTATCGAGGCATTGACACTAATCAAGGCTTGTCCTCGGGAACATTCAGCAGTCCGAGAGCTGTCAAACTGGACAAGATAGCCATAGCTTTTGGGTCAAGGCTGCCGTTATGCCGTCTATTGTCTCACATATTGAACGCCAGAAATCAAGGATAGGCTTTGTCGATCACCTACAATCACCGTATCGTTATACTGGATCGTCCTGGCGTCTAATGGGCCTCGCTCCACGGTATCACATACATATCCACTTCACTGTCGGACCGTATCATATCATGAAAGACATCCTAGACCTTCAGTATGCGATGGACGATCTTCAGGGTCACCAGTAGATACCACCGTAATGCTTCCGCGTTTAGTTGCTGTCGAAACCGGTTGGCTATCATTGTCTCCTGGCGCTCCAATCTCATCCTGCATCTCATCTCCCAACAGAATCCCCTCCTTGGGGTTGTATAGGCAATGGGATAACCCCACCGAGCTCGATTGCCCGTCACTCGGCGAGGGGATCGTTTTCCGGCGCAGAAAGGCGTCCTCAAGACACTGACAACGCAAACAAACTCCACCGTCCTGCATGGCCCGTGTGGAGGCCTACATACCAGGAGACCAGTAGTGTCCGTTGCATGAAACACTCAGAGATACCGGTAGAGGTTGAAGCGCTTGAACTTGTTCTCCTTCGCTGGTAAACTAGTAGTGGTCTAGGCATTAATCTCTCCAAGGAACAGCCTTGTAAAAGCGAGGACGCGGAGGCGGTTTGGTTCCAAACTTCCAACTGTGGTAGCCTTACGCGAGCGCCACCAGTCTAACACACAGACTAACGACCGGTAAATAACGCGATCACAGTGGCCTAGAACAAGGAGAAGAATGAAAGAAACAACGGCAGTTTTTTACATGGATCAAGGTACACAGGCATGTACCTACTGACGTTGAACCGCCGCTGTCGCTCGATATTGAGGGCATATCGCGGTCCAGATTCGTTAGAGACACTGCTTCTCTGGGATGGTGGTCATAATATCAGAATTTTGAAATTGAGTTAATTGATGCAGGTGAGAATCGATGTCACTCTACCTTTGCCATTATTCGCAGTCTAGACTTTAGTTAGGGACGGCACTTGGTGCCAGCGGCCTGGACGCCATTCAGCCACATCCAGACTGTCGGACTGAGTTATTGAAGCTAAAGTGCTCATGATGGGGCCTTGTGAATCAATGACCCGGCTATTTGGTTACTGGAAGATGTACGAAACTACAGTACGAGGCCACGAACTCTCCATCATTTTGCTGTTGCACAACGTATCATGTTGAAATCGGTGGTGTTAGGTTCATGTTGTTGATTCAAGTTCAGTTGTCGTCAAAGCACAATTAATAAGACGCACATCTTATAGGCGCCACGAGACATACAGCTTGATCCTGGGGTATAGCAGAGACCTGTTAAGGTGCTGGATCCCAGTGCGCGGGGCATTGGCTGAGATGTTGAGAACCCAATCTCAATGTGACGTGCAGACTATTTTGGCGAGAACAGATCCCGTCTGAAATGGCTAGTGTAGCGCGGGAAGACCCTGCGGTCTCTGAGCATTGACTACGGTAGTAGGTAGGTTCGCACATCATAAAGTCAAAGAGGCGTGCGGATCGATCAAAGTCAATATTCCCGTGGTTTCACATCGTCACATCGATAAAATGCAAAAGTGAGTGACCCGACACGATGGATTGATGCGCGCCTTGCCGCTTGTGAGCCGCCCCCCTGTCAATATTGGACAGGACCAGGCTTGAGATGCCCTCGCCCTCGCCTTTGCCCCTCGAGGATCTTGGGCCACGTGTGGGAGTCGTGATTGAAACTGGCAGGGGGGAAAAGAGGGGGGGAGGGAAACAAGAACGAGAGAGAGAGAGCTCGTTAATAAACCCTGCTTTGCCCTGTCCCGCCTTGCCCTTGAACCTGGCCCTCTCGTCGAGAGTCCCGACGCCGACGCTTTTCGGGAGTGCTCAGAAGGCAATACAATACATCTGCAATGTATTCCTGCATACATACATACGTAGTCCGATGTAATTCATCATGATGTTACTCTGATCCTGGAGCTTGTCATGGTTAGACGGGCCAGAAAACCAAGACAACAGGACAAACCAATATGTATGGATGCGTGTGACTACCTACTTCGGACTGTCATGCATCCGAGATTATTGCTGCAGGTCGACATTCTAATTCTGTATCTGAACTGCACTGTCCTTCTGTCTGTCTGTCTGTATGTACCGTACTGTATCCTTACTACGCTCAAGTCTATCCTAGCCTTTCCTGCAACCCTAAGGTAACTAGGTGAATGGTGCCACCCATATTCTCCCCGGTCGAATCGCACGCCTCGTTCCCAGACTCGTGGGTGTTCCGGTTGCCTTTTTTGCTTGCCAGATCACCAAATTCGCCTTGTGCTACCCCAATGTCGGTCGAGGTCTTTCTCAAAGGAGGGAGGGTGTGGATGCTGCATCCAGAGCGATCCCATATCAAGAGCAGCTGCAGTTACACTGCACTGATGAGCGATTGATAGTTGTCATTGCCATTGTCAACTATCTACCGAGTCCCGATACCGATACGGCCATTGTGAACCCCACGGCTAGGCTTTCTCACCCAGACATCCTGCAGTAACTGACTGAGTCTGCCTACCATCGGCATGACGCAAGGGGAGCCTTGTTCTGATCTGATAGACATGGGTGAGGCTCCTTTGGGATGTTGTCTCGCGAAGATGGGGAACGGGTCAGTTCCGTCTATTTTGCCTTACCAGAAAGTAAAATACCACTCTGATCACTAAACCCATCAGGAGATTTCCGCACCACCAGATCGACATTGGTTATGGAGCCTCGTGCTCTTTTCCTTAATAGTCCATACAATGCGCGGTTGACGGAGAGTTTGGCTAACAGGCTCTCGCTTGTATCAATGAGACGAGTATCCATCGAGAGTGCTACCAGGTCAAGTCAACATGACCTCGAGAATGGGTTCGGAGAGCGAGCGTCTAACTAGGGTCATACTGTACGCGGGGTTTATTGAAGTCTGATTTAACTTAGATCACCTTATCTGAGCCATTCGAATCACTGTGACGTGGCGAGCAACACTCATTGTACCTACTGTACTAGTGTACCTACCTAGGTATTCACTAGACGCCGTTGATAAGTGCAAGTCCAGACTCGATGGCGAACTACCGTAAGGCAAACCTCACAGTATCTCGACTGTATTCATTACCTTTGCTGTACGGAGTACATACAAGCTCTTTCTGGACGGGAAGCTCCTTTGGACCTTTGGTTTTAGTGTGTTTGTCAAGCTTCGACGAACCAGAGTCGAGCAGTAACAGATCAGTAAACCGTGGCGTACCCGAATTAGGTCTTGGGTGGCCTCGATTACATCCATACATACATACAGTTGAGAGCGGCATTGAATTAATTGACTTTGGACTGTCCACTGCCCGACCCCTCCGGCCTACGGATACAGACGCCCAGGCCTTGTTCTTAGGGGGCTCTGTTGGACCCTAGGCCCTGGCTACCTGGCTCCCAACCTAGGTAGCTTAGGTGCCGTGCCTTGAGCCAATCTTTAGGGGCGGGTTGCGACCCTTGCTTTGGCGCGTGACAGCGGACTTGGGACTTGGCTACTGGCTCCGGGCGCGGCCTCGCCTAAACGCGGAATGGCTTCCGTCTTCCATCTTGAGCTCGCCAAAGAGAAACGGGGGCCGGCCGCTGGGGAGACTAGGCGCCGTTTGGACATGAAACAATGAGTCGCGGAGTTTTTCGAGTCGTGTAAACAGCCTCTTTCGGACAATAGAGAATGAGGCTCTGTCTATCACTCACAATGAGATCTCCAATCTATTCGTAGTTGGCGATCATCACGATCTTCACAACTCGGCGACGCGTTTTGAAGGACATGTTGATCACTCTCAGGCAACACTATCCCTTGCAATAGTACATGACTAGAATTCTAACATACCTTGGAAATTACCAGTATGTGTGGTACCCAAGGTAGGTAGTTGTGATCTCCTATTGCGCTGGCAGGCGGCCTATATAGATAGTTTAGGGTAGTCTCAAAGCCCCGAGATCAAAGTATCCTCTATACATTCGCAACTTCACTTCTCCAACCCCATCCCCCAATGGCATCCTCTTCTAGTTTCTTCATTCCTGAAGCTTCGCAAATCTTAATAACTACATCTCTCACGGCTCTCACTTCATCTATACTGGCACCTCCATTGAGTGCACCCCGCAAATGTCCCTTCAGTTGAGGGTTCACCTTTCAAGTTTGGCATCAGCATTACATATGGCTGTAGTGCAGCGCCGTGGCTGCTCCAGAAACACACTTACATCTTGGGGGATGAGACTAGCAATGAGTACGAATGAAGTTTCGGCTGGTGTAAGCACATCAGTGTTGCTGAGGACATACCCATATGTCAACCTCGCCAGCAAGCCCAAGTCTGGTGCTCCTGACCGGTCTAGTTGGCCCATTATCCGTCTGGAAATCTTGCCATATATGGCTTCGAAGAAGGCTCGTCCTCGCTCGAGCACTTGTGCTGGTGCAGTATCGTGTATGTCCCTATGCCTGAGAGATGTACCCATTCCTGGTTCGTCCAGTAGGTCTTCAGGGGTTGCAGACTTGAGGGAAATCAGAGCATTAATCGACTATCCGAAAGTGTTAGCGTCGAAGTGAGTTCATCATACTCGTGGCCTGCCAACCTTGGGCATGCCACCGACGGCAGAAGCTTTCAAGAGGGCTTCTCTGAGACGTCTAGAGATGCGTAACTGATCGTCCCGGCTCGGAACATCGTTCCCAATAGTGCCCAAGCCCTCCCCTATGGCATTCTTGAAGACCTCTGGCAGCTCGTCTGGCCTATTGAGGGCTGATAGAGTGGTAGCAGTGATGAAGTACCATGTATTACGTGGTAGATCTGGTTGCTTTCGAATCGCTGCGAGCAATGCAGGCGTAAGAATGGGCTTCATTGCTGTCATTACGGTTTGCAATATCTAGGGATGGGCCTACAATAACGACAAGCGCATTCACATGTCTTGATTGACTCTATCGCAATATTTAACCAACATCAGTCTCACTAAGCTGAGAACTCGTCTAGCTTTAGGGTAGCCACTTTTGATCAGCCATTAGTGCCTCTGCTATTATCAATAACGGTAACCAATGACTACCTGGTCTACGGATGTACACGGGGAAATATCGGCTTTACCTCACGTCAGAGCAGAATCACGTGCACATGTCGGCCCATGCGTCATCGCTCGTGTGTCGCTCTGCTTAACGTGGCATCAAGTCGTCGGCTGTTCTTTGATACAGCGAAGTAATTACAGCACATTCACCAAAAGTCACATATCCGAATCCAACTCAACCATGGGGATAGAGGAGTGATTGGTTACTTTTTTTATTAAAAATTTTAACAAGTACCCAATTATTACCCTTCGTTCAACTCCCATGCCCAAGATGCGACTTGGCTGGTATGCTGGGGTAAGTATTGCTGTGGTGGGAGAGCTTGGGGAAGCTATATGGAGCTATAGCTGATCACTCTGGACCAATGCTGACCTTTTGCCTCACAGGCCTCGACGGCCCTCGCGGGTGGTGTTGTCCTCTCGGCCTTCTATCAGAGGGCTAACTTTTACTCGGCAATGGTATATCTCGCTCAGAGCAACTTTTGTTTGTTGGTACGTTATCCCGCGCGATCCACGCACTGGGGTTTATTGCATGCAGAATGCTGAACTCATCATATCCAGGTCTTGGTCAACTTTTCCTTCCTTGTCTATAGCAGCTTCGTTTACGGTCTTACACGGATGTTCTTTGGCCCTCTCCGCGCCGTCGAAGTCGAGCAACTAACCGAGCGTGCCTGGTTTGCGATCACAGAGACATGTCTAGCAATGACCATTTTCCGCGAAGAAATAGGAGCCTGGTTTCTGGTTATGTTTGCAGCTCTGGTGACAGGCAAGGTGTGGGGATGGATTGGTGATGGGAGAGTTGAGGTCCTCGAGCAGCAACCGCCTGCGAACCCTCGCTTGTTCCATATGCGACTCAGTGTGTCGCTCACGCTAAGCTTCATCTACGATATCTACATCCTCCGATACACGATCAATACTGTTATTCAACAAGCACGACCCAACATGATGGTCATGTTTCTCTTCGAGTTTGCAGTCTTGGCCACCAGTTCATGGCGCACGGCAGCCCGGTATGCGCTGTCGTTGACAGAACAAAATATCCAGGAAGCGCAGAAACGTAAGCGACTGGCCGAAAGGAGACAAGAGGTCAGACAAGAACGTGAGGCTATCATTCGACGGCGTGAAATAGCGGCCGCCGCTGGCGAGGAAGTTTCGGACGAGCCACTGCCAAGCGAGGACGACATCGATGAAATGGATATTGAAGTACCAGGGTGGTCTGCAAAGGGAGAGTTTGTACTCTGGCTGGACCTGATCACAGGTATGTTGAAAGCAAAAAAAAAGCTTGGAGGGGCATTACTGACATTGATAGACTTGGTTAAACTCGGTATCTACATCGTGTTCTTCTTCATGCTTCTGGCTTTCTACGGACTGCCCATTCATATTATGAGGGATCTTTTTATGACAGCCCGGGATTTCATTAAGCGTCTGGGTGCCTTGTTGCGATATCGAAAAGCCATTCAAGAGATGAATCGTTATCCCGATGCAACTCAGGAAGAGCTCGAACGCGAGGACACCTGCATTATCTGCCGTGAGGAAATGCGACCCTGGGATCCAGAGAACAACCCAGGCGCAATGGATAGAATACGACCCAAGAAGTTACCTTGCGGACACATTTTGCATCTCGGTTGCCTCAAGAGCTGGCTCGAGCGACAGCAGGTTTGTCCTACTTGTCGAAGCCCTGTTACCCTTGGCGAGACAGCTCCTCGTGCAGGTCAGAACCGGGCTGCTGGTCTTCGAATTGAGCTTGGAGGTAGGCGTCCAGCGAACCAACCAGCAGCAAACCCAGGAGATGCTCCTGCTCAGGGGCAACCGAACGGAGGAGCACAACTTGAACAGAGGCCAGCTGGTCCTCGTATCTTCAACATTGGCCCTCTTCGAGTGGGATTTGGCGCCAACGGACAACAAGTCAGAGAACTTGCGCAGCAATTTGGCGTGCCACCAGCTGCTCCCAACCCTCAAGGGCTGGTTCCCCCTACACCGGGCGCTGGCACCCCTATTGTTGCTGGGCAGACTGCTCCTGCGACTCCCCTTCCCACTGGAGATAACTTACAGAATGTTGGAAACTTGATCAGTCAAGCAGACCAGCTGATCCAACGCGAGATGCAGTCGTTACAGCTTGCGCATCAAGAATTACAAACCATCCATCTTCTCCAGGCAGAGCTATACCGCCTCAGACAGAGACAACAACATCCAGAACAACAACCAAATATACAGACACAGGCCATACCTCCTACTGTGGTACCTCTTCCCCAACCTATAATTCCTCAGCAATTCCCTATGACGCCCCAGATGTCTATGCCTCCAGGTTTCCCCCAATTCCCAGGCATACCTCCGCGACAGCCTAGCCCCCTTATGGCTCGCCATGGTGCTCCTCTTAACGCCGTACCTATCCCCGCTGGCAGTGCTGAGCTCCCAGAAGGTGTTGTCATCCCTCCTGGCTGGTCTCTGCTTCCTCTACAGCGTCTCGATGGCGGCCAAGCCTCGACGCAACCTTCGCCCCAGGTTGGCCCTCAGGCGACTGTGGCAGATAACATTAATGTACCTCAGACAACGTCTACTGTGAGACAACCCTCGCCAATTGGTAGCCGCACCCAGGAAGCTCAACCGGCTGAGAACCCCTCTTCGACTCCGACTGAACAGCGCCCCCCTCAACTTACACCACAGTTCACACGGGCGGTTGAACCACCCCATGTTGTTGCGCCTAGCCCTCGCATGCCCAATTGGGGCGGTTCGGCTCAACTGTTTGGTAACGGATCTCGCCTGGATCATGCTGACCCTGTCACGCAGAATGAGCCTCAGGCTGAAGGAAGCTCAAACCAAACTGGCCCTGTTGAGGCTACGTCTCAGCCAAGTCCAACAGCTGAACATACACCACAAGGCACTCCGCCATCCCATAGTGATGAAGACGAGGCGTCTGAAATCGACTCGAAGGAGAAGGGCAAGGCGAGAGCCGTAACTGTCGAGGAGGTTGAGGATGAGGAAAATGTTAAGGACTAGTTGTGCCTTGGGTACCAATAGGCATTTTATGCATCTATCATTTCTTACACCCATCTCTGTTGGTCTAGTGAAGACCAAGACTGCATTTAAATTTCCCGATTGCTAGCGGCATGGAGTTCACAGGAGTTATGTACTATTTGTTCGCCTCAATGGCATGCATGTATGACAGAGAAGCTTCACCCCGAAATATAAGTTTGTTGAAGCCAGTATTGTACATCTGAAGCTGGGTATGCAAGCTACCCAAAGCAATCTGCAACTATATAAGTATGAGTAGACCAGAAAACACCTTTCCATGATTAATGAGACCAGTCAAGGCACGCTGATGAATCGGCGCAGAGCATCGGTGAACCAAAAGCGAGCAAACATAAACGTAGCAACAAAACACGAACGCAATGAGAAATGCAAGAATGTAACAGACCAAAGAGCATATGGATGAATCCAAAGACGATTCAGAGGTAAGTCCTACTCTTTAACGACACCGTAAAGGCGCTGCCACAGTGTCCATATTTCAACAAAAATACATCCTCCTCCCCCTCTCTCTTCCTCTGCCGTTGACAAGGAATCCTCGAAGCTTATTTACGAGACGGCACAAGGGAACCAAAAATAACAATGACAAACAAAGAAAAAGCTGACCCGTGTCCATGCCGCACATACCCAAATGCCCCTCGTCGTACCTGTATCTATTACCATGTCCGCTCAAAGCCATGAGACGGTAATGCATTAATCATTCCTTCTTGATTCTTCCCTATCCTCATTTGTGGTAGTGGGAGACCATAAAACCTTCGGGAACCTTCCCTTGTTCAATGGACTTAGCTGGTGCCCAGATGACCTGCTATGCGTTAAGAGCATCTAGCTCCTCCTCCTTAGGTGGCAGGGGTGTCTCATATTGCGGTATATCTTCATCCTTCTCCTAGGCAGCGCCAGGCCCGGTATAGCTCGGCTCGGGAATCGTAGTCGATTGCGACAGCGATTCAGGTTCGAGACGGCCACTACTCATGTCACGCAAGATGCCCGCCGACCTTTCGCCTTTCACCGGCTGTGGGCTGAGCACGCCTGCAGCAGACTGCGCGACGTAGGTAGGTGACTTGGCATCACCCGAACCAAAGGGTAATGAACGTGTTGGAATCTCTCGACCCGCTCCACCTTCTTGACCCTCGTCTCCTTCGCCACCGAGCTTCTTTAACAACGCATCCGATTGCTGCTTAGCAAGCTTCTGGAGCTGTGCTAGCGGATCCTGGTGATGTAGCACCAAGTCAGTCACCTCGCACAGACAGTCTGTCGGTCTCCAACGTCTCCCATGCACACATACCCAGTCAGACTGCGTAGGCACGCCTTCAGCCTCAGGAAGCTTCTTTGCTGCCTCGTCCTCGTGTTCCCCGTCGTCTCCCGCCCAGAACGAGTGCCGATGAATTGGGGCCGGTGTGACCGGCAAGCTGGGGCGTTCTGTAGCGCTCGGGAAATCGGTGAGTTTCAGGCCGCGGTTCTTAAACTTGCTCCGATCGTCTCTCCATGCACCAGTTGATGGGCTCTTCACACGCCCTATCGTAGAGGTCGAACTCTTACCACGTCGATGACCACCATGAAGACGATCAACGTACCGCTCGATCTCAGGCACCTCATCCCAGGCGTTTGTGCGTGTGTATGACGTCCAAGGGTCTGATGGGGTAATCTGCACTATTGGAGTAGATCTATTCGACTCGTTCTTCGCCCCAGATCCCGATGCTGTCACCTCAGAAGACTCTGTAAGACCTTCAGTTGTCACTGAAAGCTGTGTTGTAGACCCTGTGCTAGGGTCTGAGCTGGACTCCCCAGGTGTAGGCTCTGGTTCAGGCGCCGGTGGTTCTGGTTCCCCAATGAATGATCTGGTTGGGCGAGGTCGGTTGTGTTCCCACGGAAAGATCTCCGGAGCTGGCTTTGATTTTGGAGCCGGCCTCTCCTTTGGCACTTCATACCACATGTTCTTTGGAGGACTTGGGTATCGTTCAGGCGGAATGAAAGGGGCCGTATCGCGTGACATTTCGTAATGAGTGGAAGGAAAGTTCATAGCCTCGGGTTTCGAGTCAGCGGGAGGGGGATGTCTGGCAAAGTCAGTGTCTCATGTTCAATCAAGCACAGCATTTCCAACGATGATAGGCCTACCTCTGAGCATCCCAATCATGCATTGTAATCGGGGGTGGCTCGTTCTTTGGTTCTTCGTGGTGATGGTGCTGATGTTCAGAAGCGTGCTGTCCGTGATGCTGTTCATGGTGATGCCCAGGAGCTGAGACTGGCTGACGACCAGGAGGAACAGGATGGTGATCTTTATGAGCCGAGCCAGAACCTGACCCATCACGATATCCGCCATCATGCTGCGATCCTTCATGCTGCCCAGATCCTTCTGAGTGATGATGTCCTGAGCCTTGATCCTCCTGAGATGCATGGTGTGCGTGACCTGAAGCTGAATGATGCCTGCCCTCAGCTGAAACGGAGCTGTGGTGTTCACTGGTAGATGACTGCGCATGGACTGGCTGAGGGTGCCATTCTCCTTTTGTGAAATATTGGACATACTGAGGAGTTGAAGAGGCATTGTCGGAAGAAGATTCCTATGATAATGAGTCAGACACACAACATCTGTCTGCAGAAATATTGAGCTTACTTGATGTCGGTAATGCCTATCGTAGACTGCCCACCATCGTCCTGTCATCTCACTGAAGGGGTTGTTGCCAGAAGGGGCGTCTCGGCCAGTGAACCATGGCTTGTTGGATCCGATGAAATGCACCATATTAATACTTGATTGGAAGTGTCGATACGCCGGAACGTATTGGTAGTGCGCAGATGGTGTGACGTTGTAAGTGAAGCTCAATCGATGATACCGTTGACCAAAATGCATGTTGATGAGGCCTTGGTCGGCGCCATCAAAGGAAATTCCTCTCTCAGCCATGGCAACCATAGCGTAGTAGTCGCCCATATTGGGTTCCAAAACCATGACACCAGTGTTGAACAGATCTGGCCAGCCAATGTCGGGGGCAGCTGCGAAGGGATGGGGAGTGTCGAAAAGCTCGTCAGGAGCTCGATATGCTACCACATCAGCGTCGATGTAGACAATCTTGGAAAACTGTGTGAGTTTCCATAGATTGATCTTGGTAAACGCTGAATGCAGGTCGCCACGGTTCATTAGGTACAGATTGGCCGGGTGGTCATTGCGAATGCGCGGCACAGGAAAGATATAGTCGTAGACCCTCTGGAGCAATTGCATCAGCATTGGCTGGCTCGAGGACGGGCAGATACTCGGGAGGGCTTACCTTAAGCTGCGTAATGGAGTCAGCGGACACGGTATCGAGTGTGACCAACACTGCTAGCTTGCGACTGGCTCCTGCATCGCGAAGAGAGTGAGCGAGAACGAGTGCGCCTAAGGAAGAATTAGTCGAGGTCACAGAGAGCTACGGAGCCAATTGACGAACCAGGAAGATAGGAATCGCTTAGAAGAAGCTATTCGCAAGTTAGAAAGGCAATGCCGGTGAGATCAGACACGGAGGGGACGAACCGTAGCATAAACATGCTCTGCAGCACCTTGAGCAGCCATGGCGACGTAGGACAGAAGTTGACCAGCTGCTAGACGAGCCTCGGCGCAGATCGTCCAAGTCAGCTACAACAAGTTGAGAATGTCGGTCAGCAACCCATGGATGAAGGTTCCAGAGAAGTCGTAATATTGCGATCGATCTGAAGAGGCGCGGTCGTCGAGTCTCGCGAGTCGAGGCGAGGGGTCCAAGTCCAAGTCAAACAAGAAGGAAGAGAAAGCTCGCTTGGGTCTAGCAAGGATGCTGTGCGTTAGTGCAGACAGAGTACGCAAGGTAAGGCACTGCAGTGTATCCTTAGTGTAAGTACGGAGTACACTAGGTTCTGAAACAATACAAAAGTCTGTAGTAACCTGTATCCCTCTTTTGTCTGAAGCCAAAAGATTACCTAGGATAGAGTTGGAGGAGGAGGAGAGAGGGGAAGAGGACAAGAGAGGCAAGCGAAGTAAAAGTCAGGCGTGACGTGAGAATGGCAGCAACAGCACTATTTGGGGAGGTAGGTAGGCACTCGAGGTAGATCCAATGGATCCAGTTGATGTGATTGATGATCCGATGATGGCCCCCGGACGATTTTGGAGGGGGAACCTGCCCTGCTAACCCATGGAAAGTATGGATCTGTACCTTAGCTCGTCTGGGGCCAGACTCTAGCTCCTGTGGGTCGGTCAGGTCGCCTAACTCTTGAACTACCTACCTAAACATCACCTGTGAGGCACTATCACTATCAATGGGCAGGGCACGGATGAACCGACGTCAAACAGCTCCCTGCAAAGTTAGTGAGATTCTTGACCTTACTCTGTAGCTTGCTTGACCCGAGATGGCCGGTCATTTACCATGGACGATGTACCTCAGATCATCGACAACAAGTAACTGGAAAACAAAAACCTCAGCGAGTCCTCGGGGTCTGACCCTTCAGGTACTAAACTCTACTTCAAGCCACAGTGACCCTGAGGAACTTTGCAGTTCTAGAAGCGCCGAGGCCAGACACTACACTCACTCTGTTTTCTGCCATTCAAGGGCAACACCAGATAAAACCAACCCAATTGCTGTTAGAATGATGCCCCCCACGCTCGTACAGAAGAAATTGAGGTTTCACAGCCTCCGATTACACAGAACCTGGGACCGTTTTGGTGTTCCCTGCCCTGCGCTCAGGGCATTGCATCTCCGTATATCGGGGCGGGTTTCCGCTGGTGGCGGCTCTAGTGAATCGCCACTAATTTCAACGGCTGCACGATGATGGAATTGGATCCAATGGATTGCTGTGAGCTTACGGAGTAGTCTAGGTTCCATACCTTGCCTACCTACCTGGCTCTCAGGTAGCTTAGGTTCGACCTCATCAGTTCTTGGCCAGGTCCCTTTTGATGATATCCACAAAGCATAACACCTCAAGGTTTTCTTACAACTTTTCAACGTCTTCAATTCTCGTATCATCAAAATTTCAGGGATGAACTCGGAACGGGCTTCTGCATACAGCCCGAACTGGATATGTTGCCCCTTGTAAGCTGCTGCGAGTATGCGACGCACCGTTGAGATACGTGCATCCAGGCAATCTCAACCATTCCAGGCTGGTCCCCTTGAGATATTAAAAGGCTCAGCATAAGAATTGTTTATCTGCACGAAAAATCCCGCTTTGTCCGTGCCGCAGGACCCCTTTCCCGTCCCTTGAGCTCTTATAAAGACATTCAAATCTCCCCAACCCGTGGCAGATGCCAGTCTCTAAAATAAAAAGTTGTATAAGTGACGTAGATTCTTGTGGCTTGTCTTGCAGATCAGTCAGTGTGCCACTCGGACATGGCGCACCGAGACAATCTGCAAGATCGGGACAAAGGCACGCGAGACGAGTAGAAACCGTTCATGCCAGTTTGTCTCACTTCACTTCATGCCTATCTCAAGTTTGACATGGAAATTACTAGAGAAAAAAAGGTCCCCTTGTGTATGTATGTATTCCCCGGATCTTAGCGCTTCTGAAATGCCGGCATCTGCATTAGCTCGCCTCGACCTAGTTTAATCGTGCTATCAGCTTGATTTATATGCATCACACGCTCTCGCCTGCATGGTCCACGTGAGCCATTGTTGCATTATGATGCTTTTTCTTCTACCCCAAAAACCAACTAAGATAGGATTTGCACCATCGCTCCCTGCTGTCCGTTGAGTCTCGTCATCACGCCTTCAGCCTCCCAAGAACAAATGTCGCTGGTTCTTTGATCGTGTACCCGAGTACGGCATCTAACTCAGTTGTCTCACTAAATAAACTCTCCAAACGCCTTCCCAGCCGCTCAGGATGCCTTTCGTGGCCCAGAACTCCCTTGGAAACACATGCCGTAGCTAGACCTACATATTCTTCTTAAATGTATGTTCTGGTTTGTGTGTCGTCTCGTAATCAATGTGGACATATGCTCGCTCAATGTCTGGCAGATCCTCCAGCTTGATCTGCAGCGCCTCTGCTATATCATGGCTTTCTTGAAGTGTTTGTGTCGGGTCCATGACAATGTCCACTTCGGCGATCAGGCGAGGACCCGAGTGATACACGCGCACGGTATCGATGCCAACAACTGCGTCGTCATGTGTAACGCACACATACGTGATGAGCTGCTGCGTTTCGACAGATGCAGTAACTCCGACGATGAGCAGAAATTCTCCAAAGGCGGTGTGCAGCCAAATGGATGAGATGAGGACAGACAGAATGATAGCGCCCATAGGGTCAATCCACCATTTCAATTTCGCGCCACCACATGAAGTCAAGATACCAAAGCCATTGATAAAAAGATCGTTGCGGTGGTCTTGCCAAAGGATGTTGATCTGGCTATACTTGTCCTTGAGTGCCCAGCAGTAGAGAAAGAGCCCGAACTTGGTGGCGAAAGCACAGCAGACAGATATAACGGCAGCAATTTTGAATTCCTTCTCTTGGACCTCCCTAGATAGTTCTTGGCAAGCAAAAGCAATGATAATGAGTGAGACAGCGATCATGAGAAAGCAGAAGACAATGTTGCCGACAGTCTCGAGACGAGCTTTACCGGCAGGAAAACGCCGAGAATCGACATGGCGAATGGCTCGAGCCGACAAAATGAGGGTGAGGTTACTAAGAGGGTCGAATATGGAGTCGGCCATGGTGGTGAAGAGAGAAAGAGATCCTGAAGAGATGGCAGCGTAGAGCTGAACTCCTGACAAGACAACGTTGGCCGCAAAAGAGCCCCAGACAGCAATGCGAAACTTGAGCTGGTCTTCGCCATGCTGGTCGCGGGCTTCGTCACGATGTTCCTCAACAGACTTGAGCATGCGATCAATGGCGGCATTTTGGTTTTTGTAGAAGCCCTGCAGCTTGCGGGCCTTTGCCTTGGGGCCCATGTTGCTGGGAACAGATTTACGGCCAGGGAGGCTATCGCGCTTCCGTGAAGTGTTGGCCTTGATCTGTTCCAGATCAGACTCGGTCTTGTATCCGCGGGAGAGGCCATATGGATCACGATCGAGGCAGCTGGCTTGTAGGCGACCAGTCGCGGTGAGTTGACTCTCGACATCAGTCATATGAGATACGTTCCTAGCGATAGTCTCATTCTCGTCAGCCATCGCAGGCTCGAAAGCTGTACTCGAGCCATTGCGGGTGGTTGATTGCCGTGAACTGCTGCGGGCACGTTCAAGTGGTTGTAGGTGAATTGCTTGTGGATGATGGACGGCGTGGTTGCTGATATCAAGTGTCATGATGCACGACTGATAAAGAACAGGGATAGAAGGCGACAGCTCGGGCGACCAGTCTCTTGATGGGGTTGTGTCAGAGAATTGAATAAGCAATAGCGATGCTGGTGATAATGCAGGCTACCTAGCTGTTCTGATGGGTAAGCAATCAATGCAGACGGGAGAGCAAGAAAGAAACCTCAGGCGGCGGTGATTTCCAGAGTCAACTCAATAGTAAAGAGTCAGTCAAGTTACGGAGTAACTTAGTGCTAGTTACACATGAGATAGAGTGATCGCCGGGAAGATCAAGCCTGGTCAAGTCAATCGTCCAGTCTTGCATCAATAAATAATTCGAGTTGATGATATCAGTATCGATATGTAATAGAAGCACAGCGAAAGGATACCTAGATAAGTTGCCACGGAATGGAAGTCAACCTAACTGTTGAACCAGTCATCTTTCCCACGTGGACTCACTCCAATGGAAAAGAGTACCTCAGGTAGGAACATTGAGGAAACGTCTTTCATTGTACATCTCGTCTGTTGTTGGATTGCCATTTCAAGGATGCTGATAGGTAGGTACCTCAAGGGACGGGAGGTGCATCCATTCTACCGGGCTCTCTACAGCACATGAGTCTGTTGGCTGCAGCAATAGAGCACAATGGTCAGTGGGCGCCCTGGACCAGCTGAAGTTAGTTAAGGTAGTGTGAGTGAGTCGAGTTCCCCGCGCGAGCCGTAATGGCCCAACGGAGCATCCTTTCCGGGTCATTGTGCGAGGTTCCGAGCCCTGGCGATAGTTTCACACAAGGCGCTTGAAAGACAGACGTTTGAAATCAAGTGCGGGAGACGTTGAATTATAGTTCAGACACGGCCCCGAAACGTCTAGGGAACGGCTGGAGCTGGTTTCGGGGTTCCGTGGCTTTTAACCTCTAAGAGCGTCTGTTTCTCGGGCGTCTACGGAGCTGGGATGCGGAACATGGGTCCGTCCGCCTGGACCCCCCGACGCATGCCATGGAGAAGCTGAAATTATTGATCAATCAAGTCAATCTATTGGCTTTGGGTTGCGAGCTACAGTACAGCTGCATTTGCCCTGTCGAGAGATAAGTGGTCGGTGGGTGATATACATACAGCGAGCCATAGAGCAAAGCATCCATATAATAGGACTAACATAGTCTCGCTATCGTTAAAAAGCCGAAAACAGTTACGCAATATCGAGCGATACTGGCCATCTCGAAACCAACAGAGCTTGAAACCAGTGATACCCGTGCATCCACAGATCCTCCTCTATAGCTTGGCCTCGATCGGTTTCTGGTCTTGGCTGCTCCTTTCCAAGATCCAGTCAGTGATATCTTTGGCATATTCCTCCTGGCACAGGTCGACATGTAGCGCATGATAACCCCCCACGTACGTCTTGACGGTCTTGTCCTCGATATCTTGTTTCTGTGCGAAATCTATGGCCGCCTGGTAGCTGCACGCTTTATCGTGGTCGCCATGGCCAAGCCAAAGCGACCTGACCTCTTTACCCAGCTTGACGGAACCTGACTGAAGAGCGCCTGTGCGATCCAGGAGCGAGGCCAACCCTTCCAGTGTGCCTGTATCGTGGCACAGGGGATCTTCTTTGAAACCCTTGGCCACCTCTGGCCTTCGCGTCAGGTTGGCAACATCGAGTACGTGTTTGAGCTGAAACTTGGGAAGGATTTTACCAGCTAGTCGCCCTGCAAAGACCTTGAACGAACTTGGGACTTCCTCAGGGGCGAATCCGATGAACGGTGCCTCGAGCAACCAGCCGCGAACTTGGCTCACGAGTTTGGCATATTGAGGGTCAGCGGCAAGTGTGATGACCTCGCCTCCGCCCATAGAGTGGCCCAGAACAAAGACCGGGACATCCGAAGGCAATTTGCTCTCAATGAAAGCGGCGATATCTGCAATGACGCGTGATGTTGGGCCTGTATTTCCCTTGTCGGAGGGCTGTTTCACACTTCGGCCCCAACCTCTTTGATCGAAGCCAAATACTTGTATGCCATGCGAAGCTACGATTCGATATACGTCATTGTACCAATTGACATGATCGCTGAAGCCATGGACATGCACCAGATTTGCTTTGATGGGACCTTCGGGCTGTTGACGCATCAGCCTCTGCTTACTTATTAAGGCTGATCACCACCGATACTCACAGTCCAGGTCTTGGTATGGAGGCTGGCATCTGCCACCTCGAAAGTTCCCTCGGTCTCGGTCGACATTGCGCTTAAGGAAGATGGATGCTTAAGGATTCCCAAGGACAGAATATTAGTAAGCGACAAAGAACTTGGTCGTTGTAGGTTTCGATTCAGATGTCAAGGTATTATCTTTTGTATTAACAAAATTTAACTAAGAGATCAGTCAGGACCTTATTGAGATGGTCATGCTTTGAGCCAGTCTGGGTCACATGTGACAAGCCCGTTACCGAGAGCTTAACCTGGAGTTGGTCGGTCTCATTGGTTTCTATTCCCTAACCTCAACGAGGCTTGGTTGGCGCGACAAGGACATTCTGGCTTCGTTTTACTTCTTTAGTTGCTCGATTGTGGAAATTGCCTGTATTTCGTTATCTGTCTTTTTGTAACGCCGCTTCGGTTTGGTGATTTGATCCACAACAGTTCTATGAAGCCTCTTATCAGTCCATACGACTCCAAATAGGGTTTCGTTTTGATTAAGGACTATAGTAGATGTGAACTTTGGCCAGAAAGAAGCGAGCGGAATAATTGATACCTGGGTACTTAATAGGGTAGAGACGAGACCTCTTATTCTTGTGTGTCACAAGATTGATAAAAACGAAATTCTTTTCTATACACGGCTGTACATACCCCCTACCACCCGTATTTTCCATTTTGGGGATTAAATAACCAGACCGGACCGACGCCAATGAAAATAAGATGCATGTCGAGTGGAGTTCTCTCTGTAGCTGCTGATAGGGCAATTGCCTGTCATAGAGACTCTGACATAGATATCGGGATATATAATGTACATGATTCGTCTAATCTTTCGCCTTAACTGTGCCCCCGGACCGTATTACATCTTCTGGGGAAGCTTGCCTGCTCTATGCCATCTGACTGGATTCAAGGACGCTTCTCCTCATCCTTCGAGTCCCTGTTCTCTTCCTCGTGCTCAAGACTATCTTCTTCATCGTCCCTTTCTAGATCATCCTCGAGCTCCTCGGCCTCCGTTATATGTGCCCGGGAGGCAGTCGAGCCACCATCCTTGGAAACCTCACCGCCACTCATCTGCCACTCCATGAGCTTGCTAAATGCGCTGTCCTTGTCAGAGGCCAGCTGCTTGTAGCTACCGATCTCGGCCACTTTACCCTCGCTGTTGAGAACAATGATTTGGTCAGATCTTTTGATAGTAGAGAGGCGGTGGGCGATAGAGATAGTGGTGTTACGGCCACGTAGGAGGCCAGCCAAAGCCTCATTGACAAGAGTTTCAGACTCCGCATCTAGCGCTGATGTAGCCTCGTCGAGAATCAGGATATCAGGATCTTTAAGAAGAGCTCGTGCGATGGCGATTCGCTGCTTTTGGCCTCCAGAGAGCTGGGAGCCTCGAGCACCAACCTGGGTTTCTAACCCGTCAGGCAGATCGCTGATGAAGTTACAGTTGGCTCTTCGAGCAGCAGAAATGATATCGAAACGGCTGGCCTGAGGCTTTCCATAGGCAATGTTCTCGGCGATAGTTCCAGAGAAGAGAACAGGTTCTTGAGAAACCATACCGATCCTCCTTCGTAGAGACTTGACGTTCATTCCAGAAATATCCTGGCCATTGATGGTGATAGTTCCCGACGTCGGATTGTAGAATCGTAATAGTAAAGATGCTACTGTTGATTTGCCACCTCCTGATGGGCCAACAACACAGACATTGCTGCCTGAAGGAATTTCGAAGTCCAGTCCGTTAAAGATTCTGACAGCAGGTCGAGTAGGATAAGCGAAGCTGACATCAGTGAACTTGATGGGGCCCTGTGCTGATTTGACTCGAACACCGACTGTTTGTGGAATTCCTGGTTTGCGGTCCTGGAGCTCGAAAAGTCGGCTCGCGGCACCAACTCCTTTCATGAGCTCTGAGTAGAAACCTGACAAACCAAACAAGCTTGAACCTGCGAAAGCTGTGTACATCATGAATGAGGTGAGATCTCCAAGCGACATGGCCCCGCTGCGTACGAAGCCACCTCCAACGATGAGCATCGCGAGAATGGTCATGTTACCAGCCCAACCGGTCGAAGCAAAGAAGGTGGCAGCAATAAGTGACTCCTTCTTGCCAAGAGCAAAGATCTTCCGGATTTGATTATTGTAACGACCGATTTCCTGCACTTCACCGACAAACGCTTGACTGGTCTTAACGTTACCGAGTCGTTCCTCAGCGATCTTGGTAAGAGTACCCAAGTTCTTTTGGATCGACCTGCTGACATTTCGAATAGCGCGGCCGTAGATGAAGGCTCCAACTGCGATGGGAGGGAACATAAGCAGCAAAAGACCAGTCAATTTGGGGCTTGTCCAGACCATGATAGCAAAACCCGCACCTCCACTGAAGAGGGCGCGAAGACCATCACTGAGATTCTGTGTCACAGACTTGCCAACAATAACTGTATCGGAACTGAGCCGTGAAATGAGATCTCCCACTCGGTTTGCATCGAAAAATTCAGCATCCTGGACATAAGTACGCCGATAAAGTTGAGATCGAAGTCTTGCGACCACGCGCTCGCCGACAATTCGGAGAAGGACGACTCGACCAAAGTTGGCCATAGCTCCAATAGTCAAGACAGTCCCCAAACCAAAGAAGAACTGGTTCATGGTCAAGCCAAAAAGACGGACATCCTCAGATTCACCTTTGGTAGCAAGATCCAAAATTCGGCCAACAGAAAAGGGAATCAACATGGTGACACTAGAAGATATTACCAGAAAGACAAAAGCGATCCCGAGCCAGCGGATTTCAGGGCGAGCAATCTTGATCAGTCGCACGATTTCATCCGTACCAGCTTTACCAGCTTGCTTTCCCTCCTTGGAGAGTTTAGCAGCCAGGTTGACCTGCGCCGCCCGAGCAGCCTTTTCACTCTTGGTAAACTCTTGTTTGTGCTCATCTTGGGCAATAGCTCGATTGGCTTCAAGTTCGACAGGTTTCTTGGCGCCTTCTTCGACCTTGGTCTGTATTTCCTGCGATAGACGAGGTGCCGTCGAGAACTGTCGCAAGGCGTGCGAAACGGGACCAAACTGGGAGGGCCGACTGTGCGCGAGGGAAAGCTGATTACGAGGTAGAGAGTTATTTGCCGATGACCGGAATGTAGCGATTGAGAACGGAGGTAGAGCGGCTTGACGGGTGCTAGAAGCGTGGAAAAGTCTCGACTGAAGAGGTAGAGCTCCGGACTTATAGAAAGAAGCTCCTAGTTGATATCGCGACGTAGCCAGAGACACTTGCGAGGGCTCGGCGAGGCGTGGGAGCAGCACACGGCGTGCTACTCCCGAGACCATTATGACGGTAGGGTAGTAGGAATTGATCAGACGGGCGCCCACTCAGCGTAGCATATTCAGGAGCGGCACTGTTATCGCTGGAAGGAAAAGCAGCGGGAGGGCTCGAACCGTGAGGGAGCAGTAGTGGAGAAGCTGACAGAGACGTTGGCATTCACGAAAAGAATCAAAGTTGTCGAGGTTGTGATGCCGTCATTGTCGTAGCGGCATTTCTCAGCTTCCGAGTTGCGACAGCCCAGCCCAGCCCAGTCCAGTCCAGCCCAGGCGAGTCAATGGATCCGTTGCTCACAAAAAATTTGGGTGGGACCCTTGCGTTAAGATGATGGTGTGTGTGTGTGTTCTCGGATCTACGCGACCACGGCTTCAATTGATCCGAACTGGACCGAATGCTCTCGGATCCAACATGAGCGCCATGACGAATTCAACCTGATAATCACCCAGACCGAAAGAGAAGTACCTCAGTTATCTAGGCTCAGTTGTAGCAATTCTTATATGGCCAACAAACATTTGTTGCATAGTGGTTAGCAGATTTGACGCTTCTGTTACCATGAGACTGCGACCAGTATTGGTACCTCTTCCCACACTATCTCCCTACCTACTCAACAAGAAGAAATAATTCACTATACTTAATGAAACACTAGACTAGTATTAATGTACCGATTGTTCCCAGCAACCTATTAGTCCAACCTGAACTGTTTGCACAAACATAGCATATTAGCAAACCCCAAACTGACAAGCCAAATCACCCCCAACTTGTTGACAGCATATGATCCGGTTATGATTGAGGCTGTCCCTTCAACATTTCAGCAACGTCTGCATCGATGCCATCATCGACACCTAGATCAGGAAATTCTTCAGTGTCGACACGGCGGCGCTTATTCGACCCATTGGCCGAGATTGACAATGACTGATACGAGGGTGCTTCTTCTTCTTCTTTATCTTCAGAAGTAGTAGCAGCAGCAGCAGCAGCAGCAGGGACAGGGACCGGAGACATAGAAGGAGCTGCAACAGGCTCTCCCTCTGGTGTCAATGCCTCAGGGGTGGGTGCTTCGAATGGTTCAAATGCCGGTGGAGTCAATGCCTCAATCTCTGGTCTGTCTGGCTCTGGGGGCGTAACTGAAGAGTCCCCTTGTCCTGGAGAACCATTGCTGTCCGCCGGGCCCAGTGCTCTCATGATGCCAACCTCGACTTGGTGCTTCTTGTCTTCGATTTCAGTCTTTCGGGATGTCAGTTGAGCCGCAGCAGACCTCTCGTTCTCCAATGCAGCACGGTTAGCGTTGAGAAGTGATTCTAGACCGGAAACAAGGCCTTCTCTTGCTTTGACACACTCGGCAACTGCACTCTCGGCGTTGGCCAACGTTTTGAGGAGCCCATTCAACCGAGCTGCATAAACTGGAGCAGAGGGAACAGGTGTAGATGGGTCAGTTTGCTTCTCATACTCTTGGTCTGCTGATGCGATCGTGGCCTTGAGAGGAGTGCTCAATTTGTTGACTTTCTGGTGAGCAGTGACCAGAGGTGCAAATTCCGATGGAATAGAAGTAGTAGTGCTAGTACTACCGAATGGAGAACCGCCAAATCCGGGCTTGGACATACCCCGGGCCTTGTCGAGATCTGAATGAATGGTCAGTCATCAGCCTTTTGGACCAGTTCAGGTACTCACCTCCAATGCGGGCATCGATTGCGGATTGGATTGGTGCTTCAAAGATCGAGCGATCTCTCCAAACGTCTATAACACGTTTCAATTTCGCCTGCAGCTCTGCTGGTGCTCCCTTGTAAGCGACGGAAACAGCCTCAGCAATCACCGGTGCGAAGGCGATAATAAAGTCGTCCTTGTGTCGGATTTTAGACTGTTGGGCCACCTCTGAATCTCTGATCAGTAAAGCTCATCACAGCTGACAAACAAACATACCGTTGGCGAGATAAACCAAACTTAATCGTTTTGTGCTGGAAGAGTCTTTGAGGCGCTGCATCCACAGCTGTACAGTCCTCTCAGCATGGCGCCTGAAATCGTCAGCCATATCTCTTGAGATGCATGGAGGAGAGACCGTACCGATGGAACATGATCCATTGTGCAGCTGTGGCGATGCTATCATGGCTTTCATTGAGCGACGAGAGTCGCGCCAACACAGAGTCATCGTTGTAAGCCATCTTGGTAGCGACGGTGCTTTCGTGGAGAGGAACAAACAAGAAGAAGCAAATTTCAACAGCCAATGCAAGCGCAGGATTATGGACCAGATGTCCCGACGATTATTTAGAAGCTGGTTTGTAGCTGTTACCGTAGTATCACTGTGGAAACGACGTCTACTACAGCTACTTGCAGGAATAATGTTCGTAGTCTCTGCTAACTTGTTTCCGCACAAATAACACAAACTCGAATCCTGTTACGATCCAGTTCGCCTGTAGATAAAGCTGCGAAAACGAGAATGATACGTAACTCGAATGTGCGATGGACTGAAATGTTTTCTTTGGTAAAACAAGGAGAGTTTATAGACCAAGAGCTAGGTCGACCAAAAGAGACATCCGATAAAGTGGAAATAGCTTCTAAGTGCATATTTGCATGGCCTTAGTGCATGAACTAGACCCACTCCATCAAGCTCATGCTGTTGTATGTTTCTCACCGCCCGGCAGAATCCACCTCATCAGCTAGGATAGCCTACTACTTGGCAGTAACTGAATAGGAGGACCATACATAGCAACAGCGTATACTGATAATCCTCGCATCCGAACGAAAGCTTTTCATATTTCCACAAACTTCATCCCATAGAATTTACGCACCTTACGATATTAACACACCCAATATTGATCTTTAGTTATCCGCGCTTCCAAAATGGCCGACCGTTTCCCTTCACTCGAGGACTTCGATTCCGGGGGTAAGTGCATCAACACAAGAAATGCGCGGATCCGACACTGATGTATCTCTAGCGCAAACCGATATCAAGGACCCTACTGCTGAGCCCTCAACCGACGATTTCCTCGCCCGCGAGAAGGCCCTTCTGGGAGATGATGCAGACCAGTTCGCGACCAACGATGACGCTGCTGCCTTTGCTAGTAACGATGATGACCTTCTCGGCGGCGCTGGTAATAACGAGCAGTCCACTTTCGAATCTCAGTTCCCTGACCTGACTAACCCTGAGGTTGTGAGTTGTTTGGCTAGACACTTTGAACTGAGGAGCTGACATCAACAAATAGGGTACTGGTGTCTCCGGTGGGACCGCTATTACAGGAGGACCTTCTGTGAGCTACAACTCCGGGTATCAGGCTTTCGCCGAGGAAGAGCAAGAGCCCGAAGTCGTCAAGGAGTGGCGAGAGCGCCGTGACAACCAGATTGCCAAGCGCGCCGAACAATTCGCTGCGCAGCGAGAAGAGACCATCAAGGAGGCACAGCAGAACATCGATGACTTCTACGAGAACTACAACAACAAGAAGGAGAAGGGCATCGCGCAGACACGAAAGGAAGCCGAAGAGTTCTTGGCAAGCCGAGAGGACACCGTCTCTGGTGGCACCAGCTGGGATCGAATTGCCAAGTTGGTGGATGTCAGCGGCAAGGGTGCCAAGGGAGGTGCCTCTGGATCTGGCAAGGAGCGATTCCGAGAGTTGCTAGTCAGCCTACGAAAGGACGAAAAGGCACCTGGCGCCACAGGCTATTAGAGCAAGCCTGATTGGATTTTTACTCAACCGTCCGTGGATGGAGAGTCGCAGGTCTGCTGCAGTGCGCGCTAGACGCTGCTTTTTGAGGCATGCAACTTTCTTGAGTTCTTCATGTATTCTAAAGTTTCGGGAGTCCGGGTTTAATGGCAATGACGTGTGAATAGAGGACGCGATTTGACAACAGGTATCGGTCTCCAAAATGCACATTAACGACTGTAACGATCTCACATTGGGCTCATCTCCGTCTATTGACTCAATCTACTAATCACGTTGACCTTCCGTCGTAAGCAAGTTGTATCCCCCACCATGCGATTCCCACTGCTTAGTTTCCGAAGTAAGAGTTGTAGCCAAGGACCTTGCGACCGGCACCATAGAAGGAGGCTGTACCTGTCAGCATGCAAGTTCAAATTGACCTCCATCCGACCGAAACCTTCGATTTACTTACCGCCGAGGGTACCCCAGAGAAGAATGAGGTAGGGAGTCATGAGGATACGGCTGCGAGGGCCCTGTCATATCGGTCAGCTGGATAGTAAAGGCAGGGTAAACAATCAATTTGGTCGTACAATCTTCCAAAGACGGGTGTGGTTCTTGTAAGCGTTCTGGTAGAATCGCTGGTACTGGGGAACGGGGTTCTTGGCGTTGACAAGACTGGATGGGCGTCAGTGACGGGTTCTCGTATGATGTTATATCTTGCAGTGTCCGGAGCTCGCGATGAGCCATTGATGTCGGGGAAAGTGGCCAAGGCTATCGCGAGAATCGGCCGAGACTCAATTGTACGTACGGCATTTTGAAGTCGATTAATGAGAGTTCTGGGAAGCTTCGAAGGTTGGTTTCGTGTGGGGTGGTTGAGTTGGTGAACGGAGGATGTCGAAGTTCGGGTAAAGAAATGAGGCCATAACTTGATTGGGAGCCGGGTAAGAGTATGACTCAGCAGAGCTCTTGACGTTTCCGTTGGTGGGTGGGCACGTGTCATGGAGTGCGCCCCCTGTAAAGTGCTCTGAGGTTATGATGCGCAAACCCCAAAAGATTCGGAGTTATGATGAAGGACATTTTGGAAGATCTCAAAGTTTCGGCCATAAGACAGTCTCGATGATTTTACTAATATCTTCTCGACTACGACCGAGGCGATGTTACGAGACCAGCTAATGCTGGTGAATTTACCCAGTCATGCATCGAATCCCTATACAGTTTCGACTCCGCCAATCCACATATACTCGATACATCAGGACACTCACACGACACAGATCTCTATATAATGCAGAATTGGCACTAGAACCTACGAGAATACACGAAAAGGATGCTAGGCTGATTTCTGGCCAAGAAGCTGGGGGTGGGCCGAGACAGCATAATCTTCAACAAGAGACTGCACAGTGGCCGCCAAAATCCGAATTACCCTTCCCGCTGGGCATTCGCCTGCGTGGAAGCAAAAAAGATACCCCCTCGGGCCAGAAGTCTGATTTGGAAGCCATATACTTTTGGGAGTGTCACATTTTATCGAGCCGTCAGGATCGCGGAGACCAAGGAACATGGGAGACGCTTCTGGAGCTCCGGGACAGAGATCAATCTTATCTCTTAACCAAAACTGGAGCTTTTTTTCTGCGTGATAACATCTTGGAGGCAGCGTTGGCAAACTCTGACCGGATGGAAGAGCTTTTCAAGGTCGCAGGACAACTGCTAGAAACTCACGACTTCAATTGGCCTGAACTATACCTGAAAGTGATTCATTTCTATTTAGCTCACGCTGATTATGAGAATGCATTGGCCTGGCATTTCAAACTCATGCCCTTGTTCCGTCCTGAGTTGGATAGCTTCGGTGCTCTGCTGGCAAGTTGTGCCATCGACTTCACTCCCAAGCTCCAGAGTACTTTGACCAAGATATACGTTTTCAGTCCATACCGTGAGTTGTACGACTATGTTGTGCCGGCTCTCTTTGAAAGTGGCCAGTCACATGCCGCGCGTGTCTGGAGAAAAAGGTTCAATCTTTTCAATGACCATCCCAATTCACCCAAGTCCATTCCTTTCTTGGATTTCTTTTCTCGCTATTTTCCCGCAATCCAGCTCACGAAGGAAGAGCTGGCGGTACTCAATGGAGACACCAGCATTGGTGATGGCGTTCGTACCGATGTACAAAAGGATACCCAGTTGGAAACAAACAGTAGTTTTTTCAGCGACAGGTTTACAGCACGATGGTTGGCCAGCTCTTGGACTTCTCCAGAGTTTGCGATCAACCTGATGCATAAGATTGGCCTCCGCACAATTAGCTATCATTCGCTGCAATCCATTGCGCTGAGAGAAGATGACGCTCGCGGAGTTGCTGATCGGCTGACACAGCTCCGAAAGTTAGGGATCGGAATAAGATCTGGAGCCTATTGCGATGCAATCATCTCCTTCGCGGAACGAGGTGAGGACGACTTGCTCAGAACCCTTCTACACTGCGATATACACCCAGAAGAGTTTGGGAATCCGGAGACGCGGTCAATGCTACTTGCATCTTCCGCTCAACGACAAGATTGGGGATTGGAGCGATTACTCCAAGAGGTTGAAGGCGTGACAGCTACTCCAGGGCCAAGTAAGGACAGCATCATATACAAGGATCTCAATAAGCACCTGAGTATGGCCCTGTCCATGAAGCGTTTTGCGAAAGTCAGAAATGTTGTCGATAAGATGGAAAGCTTGGATGTAAGCATGGAGCGGGAGAACTCGAAAGCACTCCTAAACCATATCTTCGAAGATATAGGTTACCATCCAAAGCTCAACAGACCACAGCTGCTTGACCGAGCTATTCACCTCTCGTTGAGAGTGGCACGACATGGGGTTGCCGTTCCTGTTCGATACTGGCAGATATTGCTCTATAACCTCGGACGCCTGGGACGCTTCAATGATCTAGAAGGCCTAAGTTATGGGATATGTGAACTCTATAGGCCTGAGCCAGGGGGGTTGATACCCGTGCATCGGCAGGACCAGCCACCCAACCCTAATATAAAAGCCGAAGAGTTGGACAGTGAGTCAGAGACCTGGTCTGAATACTATTCCTTCGCCGATGGGAAGAAGAAAAGGAGCCATTTTAAGGAGGAGTTCTGGAGAGCCGAAATAGGCCCATGCCATAACGAGACAAATCCAAAGCAGAAACATCACAAACGTTCGAAGAATCGAAACGATCCCAACCACGAACTCCGCATACCAGCAGATCTGCCATTCACGAACAGACAGCACCCCATACAGAAGATTTTCGATGTCAGTCTACAGCGCTCCATCATTCGATGGGGCTTTGATCAGAACTTGGCGCAACGGCCTATCCCACCTTCTCTCGTAAATGTCAAGCCAGTGGGCATCGCAGACTTTGACTTGGCTTGTGGTGTTCGCTTGCTGGCTGTGCTGAGAGACAAGGGCGTCTACGTTGATCCCCAAATAGTGCGAAGTACAGTGATATATCGTCTCGCGGTGGCTCAATTGCCCATGAGACCCAGGGCTAGGGAGAGAGATGATAGAGAGCTCTCTCCAGCGAACATGAAGCAACTGGTGGAAGGCGCCTGGGGCTCTCAGATTCTCCCCAGTGAGGCGCAATTGGCGTCGGAGATCGAGAAGCAAAAACCTAAGTTATGGAAGAGCTATCCTAGGCTTTTTGAAAAAAGTTATGATAACGATGATTGCATTTCTTCTGAACCACACGCCACGAGTACCAAAGAGAAAGGCTGGTTCTAAATAGAATAATAAATATAAAAAAAATTGAACAGAAAACCGTGACTCCAAACACATCAGTGACATGTCCCATTGCTTGCTTTACATTGTATTGGTACATGTGTTTAATAGTTGCTGCCTCTCAATGCCCGCCCCGGGATATGTCAAGGGAGACAGCGGGTATCCCTGAGACTGCTATGAAAAACGCCTCTACTCATGCTTCTTGGGTTTAATCACTAACAGAATGATCATGCCAAAGATTATTAGAATGAGGAGGAGAATGATCTTGCGCTTGGTCGTCCTCCGCTGGTAGCCAGAAGCTACAACTAGCTCCTTATCAGCCGCTTTGACATCAGTGTTCATGCGCTCAACATTATAGTCGATACGATCCAGCATTGTGCCCTGGTCAATGACCATGTTCTGGAGATCTCGAAAGAGGTCAGACAGTTCGATAATACCTTGGGCAATATCTTCAATCTCTCGTTCGCGTTGAGCAATCGCAGCATCATTAGAATGGAGCACTCTTTGCTGCTGGGTTGCTTGGAGTGTCGATTGTGAAAAAGATCGATCTGCGTCAGATTCTTGAAGAGATGGGTCGAGATAGGAACCTGGCTGTGGTGTACTAGATCTCTCGCCAGGACTCAACCCGCCAAAGCCACCCATGCCACGAAGCTCTGTGAGTCCAAGTTAGAAGATGCCGGGAAGAAGCGGAGGGGGGTCACCAACTTTTTAGATAAGCACTCTGTTTCTTTCTGAAGCTAGCGCTTGCATCTTGAACTCGAGCAGCCAGCGAAATTTGTATGTTCTTGGCCATGGTCTCCTCTGCCCTTGTGATGGTACCTGCGTGCTGCGATTCCCGCACCATTTGTTCGATTCTTTGAATGCAGCGATGGCAGTCATGAAAACCCTTGGTGATCTCTTGTGTAAGCTTCTCTATTTGCGCTTCCTCGGCCCTTTTAGCGTCTTCATCATTGAAACCAGGTAGCACATGCTTTTGGTGTAGCTTCTCCAAGCTCTGGCCCTTTGTCGCGATATTGGCAAGCAACTCTGTGATCTCATCCGAAACATCAGCCCATCGAGGGGGCAGTAAATCCATCTCAATCACGGCATCGCCATCGTCCTCAAACGCGCCGGCCGATAGAAGGCCGCGACGATCGTCGTTCGCATAGCTGCTAGTATAGGTGTCGGCAAGGGGGCCAGAAGCAAGGGCGCCGGGTCCATAAGGTCTTCGCTGTGTAGGGTGATGCGCGTAAGACTGCCGGTAGGAGATATATCTTTATTTGCAAACTGCATCAGCATATATAGGCTCGTTATGTGGAGGCGAAGCTGACAGCCATGGACAATGACAGGTAACAATGGGCGTCTTACAGGTTCGTGCGGTCTCGCCACATGGCGGACGCAAATTAGGGACTGAAGCTATCGTCAGGCGCGATACTAGAATGAGGGTTTCGACTACGTGGAATCGCGAGTGTGAACGTCATAGGACGAGAGGTGAGGAAGGTATTGTCGTCATGAGTGAGAAGATCGCGAATAGAGTCGAGATGCGGGTTGAGGCTGATAGCTGGCTTCGGCTGAAGGCATTACGACACTGGACCACTTGCGTTGGCTAAAATGACAGGGGAGAGTTAACCCTTCTAACTAGCTCTGTTTAGTACTGGACCTTTTAGGTTCACCAGTCACCTCACAGGCTCACTCACGCACGGCATGTGTTCGGGCACATTGCCTCCACTAAAGAACAGAGCTCTTGTCTTATCGCAGTATTGCACTACCTTATCTATTACTCAGAATCAAGCTGTTTAACGGGATCCAGGATGTCAAGCTTGACTTTTTACTCGAAATGCTTGTGATAGTCACTTGATAAACTACAGAAAGTACATATGCAAATTATCAGCTCCTATCTCCCTTTTCCTAACAAGTCTTCAACAAAGACCGCTCGCTCCCCGCAGTCGAAGCATCACTCCAGGACAAACCGCACAGTGTGCTTGAGCTGCCATGACGAGTTCCCTCCCCTAATTTCAGGATCATCAGCCCCCTGAACATCCAAAACACAGTGCATTAGGTTGTCTCTCCTTTGTTAGGTACCTAGTGCATGTCCCATTTTCCTGCCTTAGGTACCGACTTTCCCCTGACCTTTGGGTCTCCCCACGAAAGCTCCAACCAAACCCGTGAAACGAAAAGGTCCGACACTCTTGGCTCAAGACCCCGCGACCTCAGAACTTGCCCAAGTCATCTTTCTTCCTTCTCGTGCGATCGACATCCACCTTTTTTACTATCACAACCGTTGCTACCACATACATCCATCATGGTGAGCATGACCTGTCCGTTGCTTGGTTGCGCGACCTACCCATCAATCAGCATTTGCTTTACCGCCTTATCTTCTGGCGGTATCGCCAATGGACATTGACCCCGCGGCTCTGTTGAGAGGGGCTGCAGCTGATGCTCTGGTGATGCCGTTCGAGAGTTTGGACTGACAACTTTATTTCCATAGGCCGACTCACTTACTGAAGAGCAAGTCTCCGAGTTCAAGGAGGCCTTCTCTCTCTTTGTAAGCTATCCCCTTTGTTTCGCCGCCTTGCCTAGCCGGGTCTTGTGAGAAGCTGTCGCTAACCTCTTTATGTAGGACAAGGATGGCGATGGTGAGTGATGCTCCCCTTCCCGCGATGTTTCTCCGTTGGCCCCGTGCGAAACCCAAATCGATCCAACAAAGCATGCATCAGACCACTATAATCCTCCACATCTCTGTCTATGCGATATTCTTAAATCGAAAACATGAGCTAAACGCCTCGCTCTAGGCCAGATTACCACCAAGGAGCTCGGTACCGTTATGCGCTCTCTCGGCCAGAACCCCTCCGAGTCTGAGCTTCAGGACATGATCAACGAGGTTGACGCCGACAACAACGGCACCATCGACTTTCCTGGTTCGTAGTATTCCAAGACAATTAGAGGACGGTCGAGTACTAACCATTGGGTAAAGAGTTCCTCACCATGATGGCGCGCAAGATGAAGGATACCGACTCCGAGGAGGAGATCCGTGAGGCTTTCAAGGTGTTCGATCGTGACAACAACGGTTTCATTTCTGCTGCTGAGCTTCGACATGTCATGACCTCCATTGGTGAGAAGCTCACTGATGATGAGGTTGATGAGATGATCCGAGAGGCTGACCAGGACGGCGATGGCCGAATCGACTGTGAGTTGCTTGATATCAGATATATAATACCAACGGCAAATTACTGACAAGACTATAGACAACGAGTTCGTCCAGCTCATGATGCAAAAATAAGAGACAATATTCTGATACCTCATCGACCAAACCTTCGGTCCTGCTATCTCTCGCTAGTCGATGAGTAACGAACACGCATGGCATGAGGAGGGAACTGGTTGAATCTTCTTTACTTAGTGGCAAAACTGCAAGCGAAACGAAGGGCATCTGGGACTGGTTGGACTGAAGTTGTGGAGGGTAATCGGCTTGCTTCCCGTGTTACTTGCTATCCCTGTGGCTGTTGTGTCACAGAATCTGCCTACATGGCTTCAACAACTGAGCAATTTTCCATCTGGCCCGCAAACTGCATATTCGTGCCCGTATATGTGCTGTTCTCAAATTTGTGATTGTTATCATAGCCAGCCAGTCTGCATCAACTGATGGCCTGCCATCCAATGGCTTTGATGAGGGGCAACGACCCGGCGACGGGCGGTCTGGAAAACGTGTCCGCCGTTGGAGCCAATTTTCACGCTGGGCCATGACATGGAAGCACAATCAGCCCTACAGCCCACGGGGCGGGAGCCTGGAAGCGTGGCTTATCGAGTATAATGCCTGTAAGGGCAGGTATCTGCTTCCAGGGCCTCAAAGGCTCAAAGCATGTATGTCCAGCCTCTTTGGACTACATAAATATGACTACCGAAACTATAAAAACACGATTGACATGCATGCTCCCTCTCCATGAATGGTCAAACTCGAGCTACCCTCTTGATCTTGCTGTTCAGGGGGAGGATCCGTTCATGGGAACTCCTTTGTTGAAGGAGCCAACCCTTGAAAGCTTGCTGGATATAAGTGGCTCACGGCTGATATAAGGCCCCAAAGAACCGAAGCCCAAATATTTAGTTAGCTATCCGTAGACCAGTCGGAGAAGGCAGCCGGGTCAGCTTAGCTTACATGTGCATGGCTATGCCACATCGTCTAATTATTGCAAGGGAGCTGCTAGGTTTGACTCCACAGGAGTACGAGCTGATTTTCTCTAAAGTCTCGAGATGTCTTGTCCCATTTAGTTAGTTACTAAGGAATGGTTCGAGAGGGCTTGACAGAGAGAGAAATGCGGCGTTGGCCAGTCAGGGCAAAAGAACCAAAAAGAGTTGATGACACAATGTTCGTGCTACGTGAAACCGCATTGACAACGATTCTGTCCAATTTAAGGTGTTGAAGGATGAATGCCAAGCAAGGGAAGCATTTACAGGCACAGTAACCTAGGTACCTAGGTAATTACAAGTACGTAGTAGGAAAAGGACCCTGCTGCCGCCATCCATACCAGTAACCCAATCTACCTAACTGACTGTAATGCAATGTATTATGTACCTAGAGACTACCTTACGTACAGGATGTCAGATGCCGCACTCGCAGGATTCATCACTAGTTACTATTCGTACGGCGCATTCCTTCACGTGTTAGTAGGCTAGTGATTGTGGACGTAGACCGCCCGCCGCAATTTTATGTCGTATTTTCAACTGGACAGAAGAGACGAGACAGTTCTCAGCCACACACATACATTAACACTGACGCTGACACTGATTTCAGACATTCATGCGCTGAAGATTGAGGGTTTATTTCTCGACTAAGAATCAGAGCCATTTGCCCTTTTTCTGCTACCCCCGGTTCCGTCCTGTCCCTTCGATTCTTATCCGTAGGCGCCTAGTATCTACTAAGGTAGCCTGAGGTACTCATACCTACCTCTCGCTCTAATAAGACGGGACGTGTCTAGGCTCGGCCTCGGGCTTGGATGAGACTTGCTGTTGGTCCCCCCTCGAGTCGAGACACATCACCAATCTTTTTGACAGCTCCATCATCAACGCCTTTGGACTTGCCTCAGCCTTTTCCCCATCCTGGGCCTGCGATGTGAGGTCCCAGATCACGGCTCACTATCTTCTCTCACCTAGACCCTGTACTGCTTATTAGCAGTCCACTAATTACCCATCTACACAATGGCAGGTCCCCTACGGCGAGGCCGTCTCTGGATTGGTGTCGCCTTCATCTGGATCTTGTGCTTTTGGTACTGGTCAAATTCAGACTCTGGCTTCAAGCTGTTTGGTAATGGAGACCCTCTTGCTGGAAAGGGCGCCACAGCTTGGACGCGAAGATTACCTAAATATCCTATTCCCAAGGAGAAACTAGCTGCCTTGCCAAAGATCACCGGAGATGTCAAGGTCCCCAAGATTCAGGCTGCTGCTCCGGTCGAGAGCGCCGCGGCCAAGGAGCTGCGACTGTCGCGATTGGCCGCCGTCAAGAAGAGCTTCGAGCACAGCTGGAGCGGATATTCCAATTATGCTTGGATGCACGACGAGGTTACCCCGATGACCGGCAAGTCCAAGGACCCCTTTGGCGGTTGGGCTGCCACTCTGGTCGATGCCCTCGATACCCTTTGGATCATGGACATGAAGGATGAATTCACAAAGGCTGTTGCCGCTGCAGACGGTATTGATTTCACCAGAAGTCCCATGGCAACTATCAACATTTTTGAGACCAACATTCGCTATCTTGGTGGATTTCTGTCGGCTTATGAATTGAGCGGAAGAGCTCATCCTATCCTCTTGAAGAAGGCTATTGAGCTGGGAGACCTGCTCATGTGCGCCTTTGATACACCGAACCATATGCCAGTTACTCGATGGGAATGGAAGAAGTGAGTTTTCCTCGACATTAATCACGTATTGACATTTGACTAATATTCTTAGATCTGCTTACGGCCAAGCTCAGTCTCCCTCACGGGAGGCTCTTGTTTCTGAACTGGGTTCCTTGAGTCTCGAGCTCACTAAACTATCTCAGTTAACCGGCAACCCGAGATTTTATGACGCTGTTAAGAGAATTGGAGACCAGTTTGAATCTACACAACTCAACACTCGTCTTCCTGGCATGTGGCCGGTAGTGGTTGATGCTTATACGCCAGCCTTCCATGCTGGTTCAGACTTCACCCTTGGTGGTATGTCTGACTCGCTGTATGAGTATCTTCCCAAGTGGTATCTTCTGCTCGGCGGCCAACTCGAGCAACCACGCCGGCTATACGAAAACTTCATTCCTGTTGCCATCAAGCACCTTTTCAAGCGAGCACTGACACCTTCGGACAAGCCGGTCCTCATCTCCGGTGACTATCAGGTAACCGATTTGCCAGGCGAACAACCCAAGTACACCTATGTTGCACGAGGCCAGCATCTGACCTGCTTCGCTGGCGGTATGGTAGCAATGGGCAGCAAGATTTTCAATCGCCCCGCAGATCTCGAGATCGCTTCCCAGCTTACAGATGGATGCATCTGGGCTTATCAGGCTACGCAGTCGGGACTTGGACCTGAGATCTTCAACTTCATCTCGTGTGGCGGCGTCGATGCTAAGGACTCGAGCGATTGCACCTGGAACGAGGACCGGTGGCTCAAGGCCATTGAAGAACAACACGCTCCTGACTTCAGGGCGCCGCCGTTGAGAGGATCAGACTGGAAGAAACCCACAGTTCAAGACGTGGTCAAGAAGCACAACCTCCCTAAAGGTATGATTGACGTGAGCGATGGACGATATATTCTCCGGCCCGAGGCTATTGAGTCCATCTTCATCATGTATCGCGTCACAGGAGATGCGCAATGGATGGAAAAAGCGTGGACCATGTTCGAGACGATCGAGAAGGTGACACGAACTGAGATTGCGGCTTCAGCGATAGACGATGTCACCAAAGCAGAGCCTACGAAGATGGACAGTATGGAGAGTTTCTGGTTGGCAGAGACTCTCAAGTACTTTTACCTCATCTTCAGCGAATTCGATGTTATCAGCTTGGATGAGTGGGTGCTGAACACGGAAGCACACCCTCTAAGTCGCCCAGACGTAAAGTAAGATTGTTTGTGGCAGACGGGTGTACCTATGGGAAGGAAAAGAGTCAAACACTGTATGAGCGGTTTCTGTGTGTATTCCTAAAGTTATAATATCATGCGTGTACGAAAAAAATAAGTATGCTTATCATCATTCTTTTCTTCTTCTTTCTTCCTTCTTCGATGTTTGTGTTCGTGCCTTATTAACATAAGTACGGATTCAATGAAGCTTTTTTCATATTTAGGTAGTGATGACTAACGCAGTACGTACTGCCAAGTAAATCTAAGGTAATTCGGCGTAGGCCTGCTCTGTGCCCCACGTCCCGTCTGAAAGGTGTCGGGTCCGCCGCAACGCAAGCAGAAGTACAGCACAGCACACACCGTCACTGACACTGACACTGACACTGACCTGTAACTTGACGGCGCAACTCAGTTTCTCTTTTACTCAGCTGCCTTGAGTAGGCTCCGACCAAACCTCCCTATTCTTTCCTCCGCTTCGACACCCATATAAGGAAACAGCAGCTCATTGCTCTATCCCAGAGCTGATTGAGCTTCGACGAGCCCCATCGCTTCCCTCACAACCCCTGGATAAGCATCGACCAGACGGCCCAACCGCTGGGTCTGTCCTCCTAAGATGAGTTCCCGTACGGCACCGACGAGCTATTCTCCGCGATCTGATCAGTCAGATGCTTACCTTTACTTTTGCTCCGGATAGTCAAGCAGTTTATTCGAAATGTGCGTGCGGCCAAGACGATCGCCGATGAGCGAGCTGTCATTCAGAAAGAGAGCGCTGCCATTCGCGCCAGCTTTCGTGAAGAGAGCCACGATCCCAACATTCGGTGGGTTCAACAGTACTATTGGAGGGATGGAGATACTGATGCACAGCCAGTCGCAACAATGTCGCAAAGTTACTCTACCTGTTCACCCTTGGAGAGCGAACCCATTTTGGACAGATCGAATGCTTGAAGCTTCTCGCCTCCCCTCGATTCGCCGATAAACGTCTGGGACACCTGGCTACAAGTTTGTTGTTGGATGAAAATCAAGAAGTCTTGACATTGGTTACCAACTCGCTCAAAAAGTACACTTCTCCCAACGCCCTTCCAATCCAACATTTGGTTGCTGACTTTGGTTTAGCGATCTCGGACATTCCAATCAATATGTCGTTGGACTTGCTCTCTGTACACTAGGAAACATCGCCTCGATTGAGATGTCACGAGATCTCTTCCCCGAAATCGAGACCCTCGTAGCCACAGCCAACCCATATATTCGAAGAAAGGCGGCTCTGTGTGCAATGCGCATATGTCGAAAGGTTCCAGACCTACAAGAGCACTTCATTGACAAGGCTACACAGCTTCTATCCGACAGAAATCACGGCGTCTTGCTCTGCGGTCTTACTCTGGTGACAAGCCTCTGTGAGGCAGACGAGGAGGAGGGCGGAGAAGAAGGAATTGTTGACAAATTCAGGTCTTTTGTCCCGGGGCTTGTTAGAACTCTGAAAGGGCTCGCTACTTCAGGTTACGCACCCGAGCATGACGTTACTGGTATTACCGACCCATTCCTGCAGGTCAAGATCCTCCACCTGCTGCGAGTCCTGGCTGTGGGTGATGCAGAGACCAGCGAGCAGATCAACGATATCCTTGCCCAGGTTGCTACCAACACCGAATCATCCAAGAATGTCGGGAATTCCATCTTGTACGAAGCTGTGCGCACGATTCTCGACATCGAGGCCGATTCTGGATTGAGGGTGCTCGGTGTCAACATTCTAGGCAAGTTCCTCACCAACCGCGATAACAACATCCGATACGTGGCTCTCAACACCCTGATCAAGGTTGTCGCCATCGAGCCCAATGCTGTGCAGAGACATCGAAACACCATCCTGGAATGTTTGAGAGACCCTGATATTAGTATTCGCCGCCGAGCTCTGGACCTGAGCTTTACCTTGATTAACGAGAGCAATGTTCGAGTGTTGATTCGGGAGCTTCTTGCTTTCTTGGAGGTTGCCGATAATGAGTTTAAGCCAACAATGACCAGCCAAATAGGTATCGCCGCTGACAAGTTTGCGCCTAACAAACGATGGCATTTCGATACAATGCTCCGAGTTCTGTCTCTTGCCGGTAACTACGTCAAGGAGCAGATCCTATCGTCATTTGTTCGCCTCGTCGCTACTACCCCTGAGCTTCAAACTTATGCGGTTCAAAAACTCTATATCAACCTCAAGAAAGACATTACTCAGGAGAGTCTGACGCAAGCTGGTGCTTGGTGTATCGGCGAATATGCAGACGCTTTGCTCAAGGGAGGACAATATGAGGAAGAGGAGCTTGTCCAGGAGGTTAAGGAGCATGAGGTTGTTGACTTGTTCTCCTTGATACTTAACAGTGCATACGCCACACAAGTATCCACAGAGTACATTGTGACAGCCTTGATGAAGTTAACAACCCGCTTCTCCGATCCAGCTCAGATTGAGAAGATCCGAAGGATCCTGCAATATCACCAGACCAGCCTCGATATCGAGATTCAACAGCGAGTCGTCGAATATGGCAACCTCTTCAGTTTCGACCAGGTCCGACGTGGAGTGCTCGAGAAGATGCCTATTCCTCAGATCAAGGAGGAGTCTCGTGTTCTTGGACAAGCTCCTACAAAGAAGAAGACCGCCAACAGGAAGTCAAGAGTCATCAAGCCGACAGAACAAGATCTCCTGGATATTATGGACGCGCCTGCTGCGTCACCAGCTGCTCCCTCAACGACCAACACTGATCTCCTCGCCGATATCCTAGGTGGCACCTCTTCTCCTCCCCCATCTGCCTCCTCGCCACCTCCTCAGCAATCCAATGTCTCGAATATCATGGACCTATTTGGCTCCGCCCCTGTGCCATCTACAGCTTCTCCTGCCCCACCTTCATCGAACCTGGATCTCATGTCTCCCGTGTCGTCAGCACCTCAGCCTCAGGCACCTGCTGGTATTCCCTGCTATAACGCAAATGACCTTAATGTGACATTTCAGATCCAACGCAACGCGGAGGGTATGATTCAAGCCACCGCCAAGTTCGTCAACACTTCTGGTTCAGTGAATCTGTCCAATGTATCCCTACAAGCTGCCGTTCCCAAGTCTCAGAAGCTGCAGCTGCTGAGCATCTCTTCATCGGACCTCGGACCTGGAGCTGAAGCCAGCCAGATGATGCGAGTGTCCGGATGCAAGGGTGTAAGTGCCATTCCCAATTCCTGGCAAAAGAATTTGATATACTAACAAATGTTTTAGCCTCTGCGTCTGCGATTGAGGATTGGATACACGCACCCAACTGCTGGACAGGTCATGGATCAAGTCAACTGGACAGAGTCGTCCTAGATATGTTCGGTATGAAGATTTACGGGATCAAGAGGCAGATGGTGCCTTTGGGAAGGTAATGTAACTCGAGGTTATGGGCTACAGGAGCTGGACTTGGAGAAGATAGAATTCTAAAACGGATGGTAAAGCATTGTTCTTTTGCAACAAAATGTCATGCAATAATCAGATTTGCCGAAGCGTGCAATATCATCTTCGTTGCCTCCGAGAAGATGTAGGTGTGAACTCGTAGACCCGGTAAGTTGTCGTCTGACTCAGCGTTTATGAGTTGATGCCAATGGTACCTACTAGGTAGTCCATTCACCCCACCCACTATCTACTAATGTATAACATACACATGGATGCTAACATGAAGCCATTGGCTATAATCACCCCGGGACAGTTTTATGTGAATTCATGCCTCTTAAACTTACAACCTCTAGTCCTTGTGTCTTTTCATCGGGTCGAAGATTGGGTCTTGCTGCCATAAACCCTATAGCCTTTTGCGAGAGATCAAAAGCCATGTCGACTCAACGCAGTGGGCATCTAGAAAGGACAGCCCAGGAGCCACGAGATGAGGTTGGCCCATATTGATCAAGTCCATTGTATATATAGCATTGGCTAATATTCGGTGAACCAGAGTCTTCTGGATGTAAGACTCGAGCGTATAGATCAGGTGAATGAGCGAATTAAGTTATATCGTCTCAAACTCGAATCAGGGCCAATCAAGGTACACACAGCATACACCATATTCATTGCAGTCCTTTTGCTAGGGTGAATGCTGACAATTTTTAGTTCTTGGCCGGTCAATGGCTCGATACATACATCCCAGGGAACCCTAAACCAGGCGGCTTCACACTCACATCTACACCTCGCGCGGCTGCCGATCCCAGGTCTCCTTACCTAGAGTTAGCAGTACAAGAATCTCCAGATAACCCTCCAGCGGCATGGCTCTGGCAGTCGCCGTCTAACATTACTGGTTCGAAGCTACAGGTGCGTGTTGGGGGAAGCTTTGTCTTCCCACCACCTCAGATACCCGTCAACGACATAAGCCATGTAGTGTTTGTGGCGGGCGGCGTGGGGATCAACCCACTCGTCAGTATGATGGGACATATAGCTGAAGAGGGATACAACCTTGAGGTCAAGGTTCTCTACGCTAGCAAGTTACCTGCGCAGGGTCTCAGGGATGTTCTTTTTCTGGACAGAATCAGAAAATGGTTTACGGGAAAACAGCTTATTGGTGATTTGAAAATGTTTACTACGGGGATATATGAAGGGCAAGTCGAGAGCCGTGAACTTGATGTTTATGGAAGGAGATTCACATTTGAAGATGTGAAGGAGGCTGTGGGTGAGAAGAGCAATAGTGTGGTATATGTCTGTGGCCCCGCGACGATGACGGATGAAATAGTTGATGGCTTAACAGGAGATTGGGGGATGGACAAGAACAAAGTTATGCTTGAGAAGTGGTGGTAGGAATCGGCAGCGCAGCATAGCATCTGTAGACGAATAAGTTCCAGTCTAGCATCGTTATATGACATCAGTTTGGAATTCACATGTATAAACTGTAGATGAAAGAGCCCATAATGTATTTGTTTGATTGCGCCTTGGTATCGTTACAAAACCATATATATAGTCACCAGCACCCATCACTTATGCGTCCGTATTGTTTAACCCAGTTTGGCCGTTGCTACCATGTTTCGATGGGGTCCCCATTTAGGAGAAAAGGTCCTCGGCCTTCTGTCGTTGCTTCGATCTCCCTCCTCCGAACAGCTCCTTGCCAGTATTGTTGCTGCCAAGCTTAGTAGGGAATAGTTCGCGCGCGTTAGCTGAAGCAGCGCCCTTAATCGCAAAACCCTCCCCACTCCCTTGCTGGCTCGCCATGCCGCGGATGTTGAATGAGTTGCCATCGCCTCGTGCACTGGGCACGGAAACAATCTTGGGGCGATCCTCATCCTTGAGGCGGGCTGATCCTATCGCTCGCTCGAGGGTATCCAAGTTTCCTCCACCAAACTGCTTGATCGACTTCTTGGTCGGGAACAACTCCTTGGAATTGTTACTACCTGATATGCGATCCTTGAGGTCCCGCGCTCGCGCTCTGTTCGCAGATGAGCTAGCCCTCTCGCCCATTAGATCATCGCCATCGTTATCGCGCCTGGGAGATGCAGATCGGTCGCGATGAGTTTTCCGGCCTGAAAACAATTCCTTGCCTTGATTCTCGCGGGCATATGAGCGTGGCCGTTCCTCTATGTCTGAGTCGCGTCTTCTCCGTGTTGGGCGGGGCGCATCATCGTACATGCTGGCCTCGAAAGTCTCAACGTCGTCGTCAGAGGCGCGTCGTCGCCGGCCCTCGCCACCCCTATGATAGCCATCGTCACGATCCCTGTATCTTGACCGGTTTTCCTGATTTCTGCGTCGTCGCTCCTCGGGGTCATGCTCAGGATGAAGGAGATAATAGCGGCTGCGCAAGGCAGCGCCAACCTCTTTTTTGTCGCTTTGTACTGCGAATCTCACCTGGAGAGAAATCTCTGGCTTCTCTTCAAAAGGCTTCGCAGGCAGAGTTTCTCCAATTGCCAATGCTGTGGCATCTGCGACAGGAACAGAGCTCAGGGCAACAATTGCATCGCGCGCCGTGGGTTCAGAAGGAAAGAGGAGATTGGCGGAAGAATCGTCGATCCACTCGATCCTGTCGACATCGCCGAAGTGAGCCTTGACGTAGGCTTTGATATCGGTTGTGTGTAGAGAGTCAACACCCTTGATGTGGATTTTTGTCGGGATGAGGGTCTTTGAGTCGTCGGTGGGAGGTTCATCTTCAGCCACCTCGCCAGGCTCTTCAGGCTCGTCAGGTTGCTGAAAGGGAAGTCAATTTCGGATGGCAGCAGTCTGACTGTCAGTCAAGCTTACGAGAATATCGTCACGGCCGATGTCGAGAATAGGTGCGTCGTGAACCGTGTCGACGGCATCGTCCATCTCAATATCGAGATCCATGGCCTGTCAAGATCTGAGGTGCCTAAAGTATTGGAGAAAGTGTGTATATGACTAAGGATGGTGGGTGGGAAGTAAGTTTAGGTATGTTCTGAGGAATAGATCAAGCAAGACAAAGAACGCGCTGATGAAAGAGAAGCGGTTGAAAGAAGAAGGAGAAGCTGGAGAATAGAAGAAAAGGTGCAAAGTAGGCAATTGCGGTTTGCGGTTCTGAGATTGATGTCCTCTACAAGAGACCCCAATCACTGGCTACAGGCTACTAAGGTACCTATTGCATGGGCCGATCGGAGCTTAAATGGCCGGCTCCGCCGCCGCTAGATCTGTAGCAGATATCCCTTAAAAGTCAATTACGATGAAAACGCTCGTAGCCGTTATAAGAGGTTGCGAAATAAATACACATCCTCAGCAATCTTGAGCTGAACACCTTACTTATGAATCTCATACAACAATTACGGCAGAAGCCCAACGTCCTTGTCGTAATGTACCATCTTCTTCATAGGTAGGTCAGCAATCAACGAACCTCGATGCGCTAACTCCTCACACTTCCCCAAATGAGATTCGCAGAGTTCAAGCCCCATGAGCCATGGATGGATCCAGAATTGTCGACAATCTAGACTACCCTACACAGTACAAAGATACCAATGTCAACTTACACTTGACTCGCGGGGCATCAAGGTTTAATGGTATAACTACACTAGGAAACGAAACAGCTGTAAGCAAGATCAAATCCATAGTATTGCCTCCAAAGGCTCTATCTGATCTTGAACCAGAAAGTGCACAATATCAAAAGCTTCTTGCTGGTCTTGGTCACTCACTCCATCTGCTCGCTCTGACAAAATAATAAAGAATTGGAATCCCATCCGTCGCTTACCTCCTACACCTAAGGCGATGCCTTCCAGCCGTGACAGCATAAAATGGAAGTTGAAGATTGCATATTAAGCCTGCAGAAGGAACTATGGGCATAAGGTATGCGACTAGGTAGGTAGCCGTGGCTGACATGGATAAAATTGAGACGGAGTCCTTTCCCGCATCAATGAAGCCATTCCCTCTCTACATTATCTTACATAGTACTTTAAGCTACCTTAGCAACGCCCTCACGATTTGTCCATCTCGACGTCATTCAATACTAAACGAGTTGCTTCTTTGGCCGCCACTACTGTATGAAGAAAAGCAAGACAACTCATATCCGAAGAACAGAACTTACAATTCATGTCCTATTTCCTGTATTATCTACTTCAATCAGCCAGGCGCGTGCAGTTATGAGACTCACGTCAGCCACCACAGCCTTGATATTCCACGAATAGCCAGAGTCCTCTCCATCCGCACCAGAGGCTGGAGCACCTTTGCCGGAAGGTTGCCGTGATGAGGCTCGATAACCTTCCGCGGATTTTTCTCCTCCCAACACATTTAAAACCTGAAGAACTGCACGAGCTCGAAGATCGAATTCCAACATTGACGTATGACATCAATGAGGCCGAGATCGTGCTCGGAAAGATATCGCAGCAAAGACGCGCCGAGTTTGAGCTGAGAAGGGCAAAATTCGAGTTTGCCTCTGTAAAGGAACCTCAAACGGAGAGCCATCAAGTTGATTCTCCAGCTGTGTCGGATGACTCGGGCGGTAGCCCAGATCCCAAGCGGAGGAGAGTCAAAGAACAAACCGAATTTGGGACAGACATAGTCAAAGTTGTTAAACTTTCATGGCTCCTAGACTCGTGGGAGAAGGAAGAACTCTTACCCGTGGACCACTACTTGATCTTCCAGTGTAATCGAGTCTTGCCTCGTGAGACAACACCTGCACCTGTATTACCGAAAGGCTCTACTTCACCGGCAAGTAGTGTTCTGGAGCGTGCCTTTCTTGAGCAGAAAGCGCAGTCAACAAGCATATCGCCATCTAATCGGCACAAAAGGCGTCATGATGCCTCGGCAACATTATCGCAAAATGCACCTAGTCTCCTTCATCAAACGACATCGGAACACGATATCACGCTGCCTGTGATACCCGAATTTCTGAGAACCACGTATTCATGCGAGCGACCGACATATATGAACCCACCGAATGAAGCGTTTGTGAATATCCTCACTGAGATACGGACCATTCGTCGACTCCGAGAGGATGAGGTTGGTGTAAGAGCTTACTCCACATCAATTGCTTCGATCGCTGCGTACCCTTACGTACTTAGGAATGCCCAAGGTGAGTATAGCTGCATTGTTTGGTACTGCTAGCAGCTAAAAATTCATCTAGAAGTTGCGCGATTGCCAGGTTGCGGTGATAGAATCGCCGAATTATGGCATCACTGGAAGGAGACAGGCGAATCAGTAGAAGTACGCGAGGCCAACGCCGACCATAAAATCACAGTCCTCCAACTCTTTTACAACATATGGGGGGTTGGGGCTGTCACCGCCCGCGAATTCTATCAAAAGGGTGAGCACGAGAACGAGCCCCCCAGGCACAGAAGAAACTAATGGTCTTTAGGATGGAGAGATCTAGATGATCTGGTCGAATTCGGATGGAACACGCTCAGTCGTTCGCAGCAACTTGGAGTCAAATTTTACAACGAGTTCTCGCAGGGGATCCCCCGGGACGAAGTCGCGACCATTGCTGCTGCAATACTGGAACACGCCCGACTGATCGACCCAGGATTTGAGATGGTCATTGTGGGTGGTTATCGGCGAGGCAAGCAACTATCTGGCGATGCTGATGTTGTTTTGAGCCACCGAAATGAGAACAAAACACTGAATGTGATAACCAAGATCGTCGTGGCTCTCGAAAAGGCCCAACTTATCACACATACACTGACACTATCGACTCACAACTCTGATCGAGGGCAGCGCCCGGTATCTTGGAAAGGGGAAAAGTCCAACAGCTCAGGCTTTGACACACTCGACAAGGCTTTGGTAGTCTGGCAGGACTCCAGCAAAAATGCTACGCCGCATCGACGGGTCGACATCATTATCAGTCCGTGGAAGACGGTGGGCTGCGCAGTATTAGGTTGGAGTGGCGGCACAACATTCCAGAGAGATGTTCGACGCTATTGCAAGAAAGTCAAGGGTTACAAGTTCGACAGCAGTGGAATACGGCGCCGAGCAGATGGCAGATGGGTCGACCTTGAAGGAACCTCTGGAGGCGATGAAGCCCCTGATATGGAAACAGCAGAACGGAGAGTCTTTGCAGGGTTGGGTCTCCAATGGCGGTCACCTGAAGAGAGATGCACTGGATGAGTATGAGGTAGTGTCACTGTCGATCCACTGGCGTTTCTGGAAAAAGTCAGACAATCGATACTGTCATATTGATATGGAGGTAGTCATCATTAATGCATGCCCTGCCCAGCGGACTACAGTTACAGTACCCTGCGGAGTTTTGGCTTGTAAGGTACCTGCATTGGTAGCGGCGGAGTTTGGGTTTTAGGCCCATTATCAATTACGCCAGCTTTCAACTTTCAACCTCACACCCAATGAATCGGATGATCCAATTAAGCCGACGGCATTGAAATCCGAAATCTGACCACGGTACGAAAATCAAGACTCGGGGATTAGGTACTCTCGTCATCAAATACGTCCGTCGTATTCCTTGTTCGGTTCGTCTCGTCGTTCGGAGCGGATCTCGCACGCATAAGCGATGCTCCGAGGCTGAATAGACAGCACCCACCTTATTTTTACTTGTACTCTACAGAATTGATATGGTTTCCCGCAACTGCCTAGGATTAGAACCCTCCGATTGTGCTTTGTTGGCCATGGCATGGACCTACGAGACAACCAGAAGAGTCGGTGGATTGTTCCCCCCGGTGGAGCTAACCTGACTCTCCCGGACATGTTAGGTCCGTTCCGTGGGTAGTTTCATCATCCTGTTACTGTCTGTTACTGGGAACCCATCCCATTAATCACTATTTAAGAACCACTCCGTGACAGGACCGTACCAGCTCAACTCTGTCAGTTTCATACTCCTCGTAGTCAAGCCATCTTCTCTCCACCATGTCTCTCGTCCTGGAGCTTCCCGCTGAATACGGGTAAGGGACAATCCCAGTGTCTCTACCTCAACCTCAACCCCCAACAACTGACACTCTTTCTAGCTTCGTCCTCGTGGCCGCCACATCCACCTTCTTCATCAACACACTCCACGTTCTCCTCACTAGCAAGGCTCGCAAGCGAAGTGGTATCAAGTATCCCGTCGCCTACGCTTCCAACGAGCTCGCCGAGAAGGACGCCGAGGCCTTCAAGTTCAACTGCGGTTCGTACCACCCACGAAACCCAAGTCTCGAGTACTAGCCTAACCATCTTCTACAGCCCAGCGCTCACACGCCAACTTCACCGAGAACCAGATTTCTTTCCTTGGTGCTCTTCTGATCTCTGGTCTCCGTTTCCCCGTTGCCTCTGCCGTTCTTGGTGCTGGCTGGGCCTTCTCTCGTGTATTCTACGCCATTGGCTACTCTGCTGGTGGCCCCAAGGGACGCATGGGGTATGTATACACACTGAGGCAATCTCCATCTTGTGATATTTGCTAACTTGACCGACCTAACTAGTGGCTCAATCGGCTCTTTCCTCTGCGATACGTCGCTCAAGTGCATGGCCGCCTATACCTCCATCATGTTTGCCCTAGGCAACTAAGTCGGACTAATGAACGAGTTTTGGAAAGATGTAATATATGCATGATATTAGGTAGTTTCTGTTTAATTTACCTAGACCTGTCACGAATTCCCCATCGTTGCTATTTCCTGCTTTTTGCTGTGACCATTAGACGCCTGCGTATCCAACCATTACATGCATCTTATGCAATTCCAAAAAGATATGAAGAAAAATAAATCATAATGCTCAATCGTAAATTTCATACCAAATTCCTATCCAACACCCTCCTGCATCCCGTACAGGCTCACATCAGCTTCACCTTCGAAGCCTTCTCCTCCTTAACTCCTGTCCAACGGTTGGGTTTTGCTCAGAATCTTGGACTGGCTGATTTTCATGCATCTCCACCTTGTCATCCTCTTCAGCCTCAGTAACGGACTCGATGCCATTGTTACCCAAGAGATAGTCTCCGTAATACTTCATCGCATTGAATATCTCTTCTCCTGTTGGAACAATGTGTTCTTTGGGAAGCAGAAAGCCGTAGCTGCCGGTATCTCGAAGCTTGAGCTGGTAGCTGTAGTGAGCTCGCATTTCGTGATAGAACCAGTCGACGGCCGACCCACCGCCAGATTCGATGCGAGACCAGTAACGACCACCGCTGAATTCACGAGCCGAGACCGCACCCTCACATGCTGATGCAACAGTGTACGACTCTCCATTTGATAGACGGATAGACTTTGCAATACCTGCGGCAAGCTCTTCCAAATTCTCCAGATTGGGAGGGTCGACGGAGCAAGTATAAGAGTAAGGATACAGAATTTGCTGAGAGTATGAATGTAAATCAATCAAGCCGACAAATCGAACATTGTTGTTCCAGGTTTGGTTCCGCGCCCAATCGGCAATGTGCACCGCTTCAACGGCCTGAAAAGGCTTCTCTCCCCCATAACTCTCAGAGCATGGGTCCCGTTGAACCTGTGAGCCATCCCACTCGTACCCGTAAGCTCGGTCCAGGTCTAGTCCACGGCAAAACTGTAGGTTAGTCTGTTGTCGTGTTTTGCGCCAGAGCCGATCGATATGCCAGGTATACTCGAAACCATCAGGGTTCGCGATTGGTAGGAAGACCAAGTCGAACTCGTCCAATAGCTTTGTGATCATCCGTTCTTTGCCGTAGCTAGTGATGAAGGACCACGCCAGATAGTTGACAGTGCTCGTTGAGATCCATTCGCGAGCATGAGAGCCGCCCATGATCATGATTGTTTTGCGCCTCGGCGCATCCGGTGCTGTGTTCGGAATCCCCACTCGAAGGGCGGGAATATCGCGGCCTTCGTACGACTTGCCGATGTTAATATACTTGACGTAGGATGGAAACATAGCCTCAAGGAGGCGCATCCATCTCATCACGACCGGCAGAGACTGGTAATCCTGGAAAAAGAGGTTATCTCCAGGCGAAGAAGCGACTTTCAGGACCGGAGGCGCGGGCTTAGCATCGTAATAAGCTGGGTTTCCTCCGATAGGCAGTGATTTATAGACTGCGGCGGCCAAATCTGGAATCAGAATCGAGTGCGATGCGTGTAGTGTCTTGGGAAGCAAGCTCAGCAGAGGTCGAACCTCGTCAGCGTGTAGGCGGATGTCGACATAATCATCGGTAAAAGCCCAGACATCGAGAAATAGTCGAGCGGCGGCATCGGCAAGCGCTCCCTCCTCGTGCGAGGTAGTGACGTTGAAGCGGAGGACCAACTGATTGAGGTATTGCGCACGTAGTTGATTGATGATGGGCGGCGGGGTGTTTTTACTCGGATGACGTCCGAAGACGGTCTCGATAGCCTTGTCGCGAAGTTTAGAAAGAAAAGGGAAGAGCCGTTTGCTCGCGTCATTATCATTATTGTCGGTATTCTGTAAATCTGGAACGGCACGATGTGTATCGATGCCAGCGGCGTGGGCGCTGGAGGCCTGCAGAAGCAGCAGACTCGCTGCCAGTAAGGGCAACCTCATCTTGAGTCTTGTAAGAGAACGCGCAGTCGACTCGATCAATTGATCCTGATTGCCTGAAGTGTCCGGGACTGAATGCGGAGGACTATCAGCCCTCAGCTGTATATTTGGTGATTTTGTATGATGGAAATAGCGACAATTATTAAAGATATGAGTGACGATGTTTGAAGATTACACTACACTGCCTCTAGTTACGGAGTAGCCTGGATGATAACGCACGCAGCCTGACGCTTGTCGCTGGTTTCTGTGGGGCTGACGTGGAAGCCATTATTGGTCCATCCATTCGAACATGGAGGGAGGGTTTTTTTTCACAACCTAAGCGTTGGAAGCATCAGAATTGAAGCAAATAGAACAATGCCATATTTTAAGGAGGTAGTTGGATTTAACAAGCTTGCTATGATAGCATGTAACAGGATTCCTAAATGCTTAATTCGTAGTGCGAAGTGACACAGAAATGGACACTGGAACCTTAGTTATCACCAATAACTGGTAGTTACACAGTTATAAACACTGAGGGCGATCTGAAAAAGGACCAAGAATAATGGAAGTAATGTTGCTGTCCGCTGACAGTTGGTTACTAACTAGACTAAAGGTCGCCACCTAGGTATTTATAAGTTTTCTATCAGGTTGATGGAAAGAGATGGCTTATAATTAGAACCCTGAGCTACCTATGTAGGTAGTTAGTATCCTTTTCTTAGTAGATGTCAACAACATTCAATATGCTCCGAACTAATTCGAAGCAATAGAGCTACATATTTCAGTTTGGATTCAGGAGACAGACATAAGTTTATCGTATCCATAGCTAACTTTAATATACTTGGCTACAGTACCCAGGTTGGTGTAAATGAACAAGCTTTACGTAGCACACGTGAGGGGTCTATGTGCACTTATCTGTCGCTTGAGTAATATAGCAAAATTACCTTGTAACGATTCCGAAAAAATCAAGCCTCCAAAGATGTCATTTTTTATGTGACATGGCCTTAGATATATTATGGGCAGGGAGATATTGAAACATGAATACTTGTTCTTAGCACTCGCTGGTATATATAGATTAAAAAAAAAAATGAAGCCATCTTCAGAAACTGTCAAATCAATTTGCCTGCTCACTTACTCTGAGGCTGTCAGACCAAGTTCGGAATCTCAGTCCCAGTTTTGAATAATTACAATAAATAAAATCAGCATTTGTTACCATACTCTCTCGTCTATTGATGCCAGAGCGTCTATCCAAGTGACCACAAGTGCTGATGATACTGTATAATACTACCCCTACTTAGGCTTACGTTGCGCGTGTCGCCACGTTGCAGATATACTGTATACAGTAGCCACCTGAGATGGGATCAAAGATATCGAAGAAGAAATTATTGTAAGCTGTAATTTCAGCCCATTCTTTGGACAATGTTTCTCTATCATCACCTCACCTCCTTACACCAGCCACACTAATAACCCAGTGGGCTAGGCTACTAGCTTAGGTCCTTTGTACCTGAAGGGCCTTTTACAGCGGGGTCTTTCAGGACGGGAACCTAGAACCCCCTACTCCCAGCCACATACATGCCTTACCTACTGTAGCAGTGGGTCCGGACACTGTACATTGGTCGTCTGACATGCGCTGGGGATGGGCTGGGTTAATTGAGGCTGCCACGACCAGCAGCCCCTGGCTTGGTGGGAAAGCTCCCGTGGAAAGCGAATGCTCAATGGAAGTGATCGAAAACGGATCAACCTCCAACTAACTACTAACCTAAGTAACTACGCTGCATCGACAGCGCTTACAATCCGACCCTTTCACGCGACATCCACTCTTGCTGAATTCTTATCATCGATCTAAGCACCTCGAGTTGTCTCAATGAACACCACCGCGACTGCGTACCAGCATTTCGCTTGGTAGGTCGTGAGACGCCTGCCGCCCTCAACTGGCACGCTCTCTATCCACGTCGCCTGGTCTTGACAACGCCTGGGCTGGCTGCGTATCATGATCAGTCGCCGTTATGGCTTTTCGTCGCCGCCGAGGCAACTTGTCTGATGACACTGAAAAACGCCGACATACCCTCTTCGAACCCAGCGCATCCGGCGATCTTCCTCCAGTTCCTTCTCAGCCCGACCACAACGATGACGAGGGACAAGGACCCGGAGAATCTTCCCACCCGCAGCAACCTCGTGAGTTAGCTCGCGAATCAACAACTAGCCGTCCTGAAGGTCTCCCCGAGAGCCAAACTGAGAGTCGCCCTGGAAGTCGCCCAGACACCCCTCCTATACAAGAAGAAAACAGCAAACATCATCGCTTCTCCGTCTTGCGTTTCCGAAACGCGAGTGATTCTCAACTGTCTCTACGAGCCAAGCAACAGTCCGAGAAGCCGCCGCCTGTTCCGCGACGTAACACACCCCTATCTACCGTACTTCGCAGTTGGGACATGCTTAGCTAACCTATGTTCAACTTAGCACCCGAAATCATTACCACCGCTCCAACAAACGAGTTCAATGGACCGAAAAAGAAATCATCACGGATAGGCCTGACTGCCAGGTTCCGTCGCTCGACGGATTTGCCCCGTGAGGACGTCAACACCAACAATGGAACGGGACGCCAGAAGACACTTCGGAAATCCTTCACTGATGACAGACGACGCCCCACGCTCGCTACGCTGGAGGAACCTGAATCCCCGCGACCATCGACAACAGCTACAACAAGTAGTCCTAATGGTACAATCTTAACACCTCCAAACCGCCCTTCCGAGTCATCCAGGTCTGATGCTAGCTCCAACGATCGCTTGTCTCACCAGAGTTCGTCCTATCAGAGTCCGGAGACGACACCCAAGAAATCAGGCCCGTTCTTTCGATTGCGACGGCACAAGAAAGCACCAGAGCCTCTCTTTCCATTTGCGCATCTTCAGCAGCAAGGAAAAGCACCCCCAGGCATCTCCTCGGCTTTGTCCCTTGGGATTTCCACTACGCCACGTCCAGCTTCCGCTCAGAGCGGCAGAACAGCTGGCGGAAATACTACCAAAGGAGATTCCGATCTAAGGTCAGGACAATCACCTGCGACCACTCTGGTGGCACCTGGAGGGGTTCAGTCGGGGCATTCTTCGCCCACCAGGGGCGATATGTTGCGAGGAAGGTCCTCTACTATGAGTTCGATGGGCCGTGACTCCAATGACGATCATCTTCTACCGCCGACGACACGAACGTCGTCCTCTACTGGCCGTAAAAGCTTTGGTGATTTGTTTGGCCTCAGTCGTTTGCGGCAGAATTCGGAACTCAGTCGTCAGGGCACGATGACTCCTACAACCCCTGGGTCCATTGGATCTAAAAACAACTCGCTCCAGCTTGCCAGGGACTCCTTTGTTCTCCCAGAACGCAACGAAGACGAGTCACCAGCCAAATATCTTGCGCGGGTCGAAGAAGTTGCCAGCCGAGGCATCATTGCTGCGACTCTTTCAAAAAGCGCTGACCCGTTCATGGCTTCGGTCCTTCGGAGCTACATGCGTAGTTTTAGCTTCTTTGGTGATCCTATGGATATGGCTATTCGAAAACTTCTGATGGAAGCTGAGCTACCTAAGGAAACACAGCAGATCGACCGCTGCTTACAAGCGTTTGCCAACCGCTACCATGAGTGTAACCCAGGCATTTACTCATCGCCTGACCAGGCGTACTTCATTGCTTTCTCCCTACTTATTCTACATACCGATGTCTTCAACAAGAATAACAAGCACAAAATGCAAAAAGCTGATTACCTGAAGAACACAAACGGAGAGGGCATATTTGACGACATTCTGGAATGTTTTTATGACAACATAACTTATACCCCTTTTATTCACGTTGAGGATGATTTAGACCCTGCAAGCGACCGCTATGCTTCACATAAATCTCGACGAAAACCTCTGATCTCCTCTACAGTAAACGACCCCGCAAAACGAGCTGTCAAGGAGCCTATCGATCCCTATACCCTGATCTTGGACGGAAGCCTTGATGCTCTGAGACCAAACTTGAAGGATGCCATGGAGCTGGAGGATCACTACAATTACCTCGGCTCTGCGACTAGTCTGAACTTGAAGGACTTGCAGAAAACGTTTTTTAGAACAGGTGTACTGCAGATCGTGTCGGCCCGGTCTCGACCTGACGCTTTCATGACGGAACAGACAGCTAGCAACCCGGCCGAAGCACATCCCGGTATCGTCGACATCAAGGTCACCAAGGTTGGATTACTTTGGCGGAAAGATGCGAAGAAACGCAAGGCAAGGTCTCCGTGGCAGGAATGGGGCGCCATTCTTACTGGGGCGCAGCTCTACTTCTTCCGCAATACAGGCTGGGTGAAGTCTTTAATGCATCAGTATGAGAACCACATCAAGGCGGGACATGACGGAACACCGTTGATCTTCACACCCCCGCTTCAAGAGTTCAAACCAGATGGTCTCATGTCAACTTATGCTGCCGTGGCCCTCCATGATACGGCGTATAAGAAGCACAAGAACGCTTTCGTCTATGTGCGGCAGGGTGGTCTAGAAGAAGTGCTATTGGCAGATAATGAAGAAGAAATGAACGACTGGCTCGCCAAACTCAATTATGCTGCCGCCTTCCGGACTACGGGCGTTAAGATGCGTGGTGTCATTGGAGGCAACTATGACGGACAGAGTCGCCGTGGTTTACGTCGACTGGATAGCGCTGATGCTGCCACTCTCATCCAGACACCAACCGGACCAGTGTCTATCGCGAGGAGTCGAATAGACCATAAAATGGCCGAAGATATCTCGGCTGCTCGAAGAGACGTGATGAAGCAGAAGATTGCTGAAGCTGATGAGCATGTGCAGGAGATTCAGAAACAGCTGGAACACCAGCTCAGGAACGCACGCCACCTGCTAATCCTTGCGCCCATCCAGCCAAGAACGAGGGAACAGCTTTTATCTGCTGCTGCGCGGATATCTGCTCAGCTCAAGTGGACGCGCCAAGATATGTGGAAACACAAATGCCACCGTGATATCTTGATTCAGGATCTCGAAGAAGAACACCCATCCTCG